GAAACCAGAAATAATCAGCTGGTTATTTCTTGATAGAAACTAGAAAAAACGTTCTAGTCATTTTTTGGTAGAAACCAGAAATAATCAGCTGGTTATTTTTTGGTGGAAACCAGAAATGATCAGCTGGTTATTTCTTGGTAGAAACTAGAACCAGCATAAAACGGATAAAACCAGCGGTGCTTCGGTTTATTAGTGGCCAAATAGTATCAGGCAATAAAATATTATCTCACCAGGCTCTTCCTTGCTTTCAGCGGTGCTATCCGGCTTGGAGTCGTCGCCCTCGGCGTCGGCGTTCTGTACCACTGTTTCAATAGATGCCATTATTTCTATTCCACCAATAGCCAGCGTCCAAACAAAAACTCGTATTAGATACTCGTACCCTCACTTTGTTTGGTCTAGTTAATTCGTGTTGATATTGAAAATTAAGGAAGGCAAAAGATAGTGATGTTATTACCGATAGACTTCGTCCATTGTACATACAGCTTTCATAAGCTGTAGTGTCTTATTTATGTGGTGTGTGATGGCTGGTGAATGGTGAATTAAATGTTTCTATTTCTTACGTAATTTCATTTATTACATTTATATACCATACACTGTACTGTACTGATTTTTGAAAGATGAAGTGATAGGGCTGGCAATAAGCTTATATTTTGTTGTTCTAATACGTCGTCGGTTAAATTGGAAAATATCGTAACATCCATTAATGTGAATGATTTTGAGGAGGTTTAGGTTAGGTTAGGTTAGGCCTTCGTGCTCGAATGGCTAGCACACCAGTTTTCATGGTGTCGCCATGAGGTCCCGGGTTCGATCCCCGGCCGGTTCAGTGTAGAAAATAACTTTTCTAAATTGTCTTGGCTCTGGGTGTTTGTGGAACCGTCGTTGTTTCCAATTTCCATAACACAAGATATTGTCTAATAATTATTTATTTATTTATATAACAATCTATAATTATAACTTTATTCTAACCGACTTGATAAAAGTAGGAGGTTCTCAATTAGACTGTAAATTTTTTTAAATGTATATTACTCGATTACTCTGGCCGCCGGCATATTTGAGCTCAATTCAGCAAAATTGACAGGACGAACAAGTCGTGCGCCTCATGGAAAGTTACATGCCTGTCCATAACAGTTGCAGTGCCACTCGGATCTTCAAATCACAAAGATATGAGGGGCACTGCCACTGCGCCCGTCATCCTGAGACATAAGTTGACAAGTCCCATATGCCTGTAATTTCACCAGCACTTTTACCCTTCATAACCAGAACGCAGTAATGCTATAATTACTGCTTGGCGGCAGAAATAGGTAAAGTGGCAGTACTTCCCTGGACAAACTCTTTCACAATGAACTCTACCCTAACCGATTTCAATAAAACTTGGAAAATAGATGTAATTCCACGAAGTTTTGAGGTCTTTTTTTTTATAAAACCGTTGTCATTATATAACTAAAAGATGTAAAAGGAGTTACGAGGTTTTCAAATTTAGCCGACGACGTGCGTTTCTTTTGAAACAGAAAAGTAAAAGAGTGACACAAAGAATGGCGAAAATAGAACTCACCGGCTTCTTTCTCGGTATTCTCGTTCTTGAACCGCCTCTTCCTTCTGGTGTGCGTGATTCCCATCTCCGCCTCGAGCTGCTTCATGTGGTGAGCGCCGTGCTGCGACAAGCAGACGTCGTCGACGTAGTACTCGCCGCCCAGACCCAGCGATTGCGGCGTAGGGCGCGGCAGGGGGCGAGGCAGCGGTAGGGGGGGCTTAACCGCCTCCGGCGCACGCGCCAAATGCGGCGGGGCCACGTCGCGGCCACGGCACAGCACGCACTTGTATCTGCACGACGTGGGAACATAGGTCATCATCACAGAACAATAAATACAGTAGAAGTGATTAGTTAGCGTCTGACGCGTGTCAACGTTAGATCTCGTTCGACCTACTTGAGCTCAGGCCGCCATTTTTGCTTTGTATGGTTGCGTCATTTTTTCGCGCAAATTCTCTAAAATCATAGAAAAATGCCTTATTGTGCTGTTTTGATGTGCAAAAATGATAACCGCTCCAAAAATACTACCCGTAGTAGTATTTCATATCATCGGTATTCGAATTGATTTATTGTACTGTAACAAACGAAAGTAAACATTATTCCAGAGCAATAAGGTCGAGTTTTGTCTTTTGGAGAACTAAGTAAACATCTGGAATTTTCCACGCTAGTAGCGAAGAAAACTTCAGCGAAAAAATGCTTCATGAGGGTTTGTTAATATTAAACTTAATTGATCGAAATAAAGTTCATTGTCGAAAAGACACTACTTTCTATTCGTTCAGATGCTAATCGTTTGACGTAATCCAGCTACTGGCCGCAAGATGGCAGCACGTTGAATAAAACTTCAATATAAAACCAAAACGTCATAATTTGCAACAAAGTTATTGAACTTTCAACGATATAGCGACTGGGTAAAGTTTAAATTATATTAACAATCTACAATTTGTTACATCTTTTTAAATTAGAAACTATGACCAATCATTCCATAGTGTTTATCATTTTGTTTGTGCGCGTTTTAGCGATAGCGGTTACGATACTAATCGAGGCATAAGGCACTTCCATTCTTTTTTTTCCGTGGTCGCCATCATCGTCAGCCCATTATACGTCCCACTACAAGAGAAGGGTCTTGTATAAAGACCTTTTTTATAAATTTTGTATAAAGAGTTCTAGACCACGCAATAGATTGCTTCTGCCACGACCTCAGCTACACATACACAGCTCTATACTCTAGCCAAATTCGATGTAGAATGTTTAATAACAAAACGTTGCTAGGCAACCAATGATGACATAGGAAAAGAACATTTTTTTCAATGCTCATTATTAAAGCTTCCTCTGCCCCCACGGCATGCTCTCGTAATTGGAATTTAAATAGGTAAGTAGGTAATTGGGTTATGTAGAAATAATACTTAGCCAATTATTATAAATAATAATAATAATATGAATTTACTACATATTATATCATCCAGCATCTATTTCCGATTCTGAACTTGAATTACCACTAGAACTCGAATGTTTGTAATCTCTCCCTTCAAATCAAAAAGTCACTAGGGATGATAGTTTTACAAATAATTAATTACTGGTCATTTTTGTGTCATTTTTAGGTAGTTTTAAACTTCTCTTGAATAATATTCATTATAAACATGGCTTCAAGATTTAGTATTATCCATAATCTAACTGAATTTCGTAGGAAAATATTGAAATTGTTGTAACTGTGAAAGAGTCTGGGATGAAAACCCTAAAAATCAAATGTTTTTGTTTGTTGACATTTATTCTACATCGAATTTGGCTAGAGTATAGTCCCTACTCAATGTCGGTGAGGATATTCAACGAGCTCTCGCCCATTATTAAAAACGAGGAAAAGTATTCACTGTTTGTAAATAAATTAAAATTACATCTTATTAATAAATGCTATTACAATTTAAATGAAAACTTTGACGACAAATAAAAATAATAATATTAGGGGTTAAAGTATGAAATTGCCGTTTTATTGCAATAGGTTCTTTGAATTTTCATAGAATCTTCATGGTTTGAGGTTTTCGAATGAAACTTTTTTCAAATGGTTTCTGTGATTTTTTTTTTTTAAATTTGAAACATTTGAATATCGACTTTCAATTGTTTTTGTTATTCAATTTAGACAAGAAAGATGGATACTGCGAAAATTCGAGTGATTTTTGAATACGAGTTCCGACGCGGAACTAACGCGGCAGAAACAGCCCGCAATATCAATGCTGCGTTTGGAGAGGGGTCTACTAATGAACGCACCGTGCGATTTTGGTTTAAACGCTTTCGTGATGGAAATTTCGACTTAAAGAACGAGCCACGAGGAAGACCGCCCACACAGGTGAATAACGATGAATTAAGAGAGATAGTGGAAGCCGATCCTAGTCAAACTACCCAGGAATTAGCGGCATGGTTTAACGTTACCTTACCCACAATATTGACTCACTTGCGTCAAATCAATAAAATAAAAAAATACGAAAAATGGGTGCCTCATGATTTGACTGATCTGCAGAAAGAAACGCGTGTTGAAACTTGTGTTGCCTTGTTGAACCGGTACAGAAATGAAGGAATATTGGATCGAATTGTAACATGTGATGAAAAGTGGATTCTTTATGATAACCGGAAAAGAAAAATGCAATGGCTGACCCCAGGTCAAATGCCACAACAGTGTCCTAAAGCAAAACTTACCAATAAAAAGGTAATGGTAACTGTTTGGTGGTCTCAGCATGGTGTTATTCACTATAGTTTTCTCCGATCTGGTCAAGCAATAACGGCAGATGTCTATTGTGCCGAACTCCGAACCATGTTGACAAAACTAGCAGTAAAACAGCCCCGACTCATGAATCGATCTTCACCATTATTGCTCCACGACAACGCGAGACCTCACACAGCACGAGAAACCATTTTGACCCTTCAGGAACTGCGGTTAGAAACCATTCGTCATCCACCGTATTCACCAGACCTTGCTCCAACGGACTACCATTTTTTTCGTGATTTGGACAATTATCTACGTGACAAGAAGTTTTCTTCCCAGGAGGCAGTACAAAATGCTTTCACACAGTTTGTGCAGTCTAGATCGTCGGAGTTCTATCGCAAAGGCATTAATAACCTTCCCATTAGATGGCAGCAATGTATAGATAATAATGGCAACTATTTTGATTAAATAAATTTGTTAAAAATTTAAAAAATAAACAATTTAGATTTTCAATACAAATCGGCAATTTCATACTTTAACCCCTATTATTATAATAAATTTCAATAATAAATAAATCTCAATTATACAGGCTGTATATTTGAAAGTGAGACATAGTTATACAGTGCGTTATATTCCTGATTCTGAACCCAAAGAAATAATAAACTAATGAAGTTAAACTTTATAAAAAATATTTTTTAATTTTTTTTATCGACTACTTTTTATTTATTTTATTTAGACATCTATGCACATCACTATTATTGCTCAATGCAGCGGCGAGCGGCGGCACGGCTTTGTTTTCTCACACGGCGGCGAAAAACAAAGCACAAGTGGGGGGTGGAGGCGCGGGCGCATACGCGAAATTGCTGTTAGCAGAGACAATGCACGCGCGACCTTGGTCTAACGATGACGCGTAAATTATTTGTACTTCCGCTCGCCCGATCGCCGCAAAATGGATATTTATTTTAACATCGAATTGATTGAGATAGTGCGACTTTACACAATAAGTGGTGATGGTGTGAGGCAAGCTATTGAAATGTTCCCAAATCGGAATTTAAGCGGAGGAGGTGAACAGTTTCGAAGTGTTGCGTGAGAGGATTATCTCAGCATTTTATACTGTGAAACAAATGTGTTTGTGTTGAACAATTTCAAACAAAATTTACTATGCCGTGCTAGAGTATGCATTGTGGAAAACAGTGGACATTTTGAACGCTTGCTCCGTACCACGTAAGTGTAAATAACTAAAAAATCAATCATTGTAAATAACTTGATTTCACATTTTAAACTACGTAAAAACCTCAATTCTTATTAAATGATAACTAGTTACTAAATCATAAACTTATCTTTTTTAGTACGTAAAACATTTCGATGATAGTTCAAGTAAAAAATAATTAACATAAACTAAAACGTAATCATTTTGATAACAGCTTTTTCCATCATGACATAAATGAGTAGGTGAGTAACTTAATTTTTATTTTCTAGAGAAATGAGATGCTTTGTCGGTCCTAAGCCCGCGAAAAAGTAGGAAGGGAGATGTGAAATCATTGTTATTGTTGCTGTCTTACTCGGCGCTCGCTTGGTAGTACTCCCATTGCACTCGAAATCAAGCGTAAAGAGGATCGGTTTATTCCTATGTACACTCCAAAACACATTTGTTGATTTATTTTTTGTTCTATCCCATATCCTAATTTTATTTTAGTCTATATTATGTTGTAACATGATTTACTATGACATGTATGAATATGTCTCACTTTCAAATATACAGCCTGTATACTATAAAGTTTAGCTATTGTAATCTAATTAAATTCAAACTTTCAAGTGACATAATTGTGCTTCTTATATGACGCTTTTCTTATTATATGGCACATTTTTTATTTTATATTATTATTTGATAAATAACAATTCTAATTAATAATTGAAACCTCGGTCTACCTTCTTATTGTTATCCCTAATAAAGGGTACATATTGACCCCTCCTACACAAAGCATCGTATTTCGAAATTGCCAAGTCCCCTGTAGGGAGCGTTTTAATCTTCTGAATTCACTGAAATAAGCATAATACTTGACTTTAGCATTTCTCAGCTTTATTCGGCAAAGCTCGTTACTCTCATAGAGTATTATAAAATTCTAGATATCGGTTAGATGATCTATTAGATGATCACTCTATGTAAAGAGTGAATTCAGAACATTATAATGCTCCCCTGTAAATTTGGCAATTTCGACATACGATCCTTTACGTAGTAGGGGTCGATATGTGTAGTATTATTTAATTTTAAGACATGTACCATATGAATGCAATAAATATATTGAGTATTGGAAATAGAATAGAAATAGAAACCATTTATTGCAACGCCACATCATAAAAGAAAAATACTAATATAAGTAGAACAGAAATAAAACAGCGTAAAAATCATTTAAACAACAAGTTACATAATAGTATACTGACACGTGTGCGGCTGTGGCGTTTACAAAAGGATCCCTTTCAGCTAGTCACAACTAAGACTAGGTTGTGACGCTGGTTTTCAATGGGCCCTAGCCGAGTGAGTGAGAGTGACAGACGTATGCGTCCCGAAACAGAAAATAAAATCAAATAAAATGAACTACGTAAATACTTATGTCTTATGTGTGTATCGTGTTATTCTAGTATTAAAGAAGTTGAGGCCATAGTCCGTGTGAACCCTCTTCGACGTGCGGGTTTCATTACGATATATACTTATTCATTGCTAGCGAAATGTAATACTAATACTAAACATTCACAAATGTACTCAGAAATTTTATAATTCCCCTAGGGCGTTTCAGTTTCGTTTCTTTATAATCCAAGCTCTGTATCTCGCATTGACGTAAAAATGTCAAATCGTAGCAGCTGCAGCGCTGTTAATCTGTTATAATAATGGAACGTAGCAGTAAAGAGAGGGAAGCACTCACCCCGCGCGGCAGCAGGTCTCTGCGTCGGTCTCGCTCTTGATGGCGTCGCAGGCGGCGTGCAGCCAACGGCGACAAGGCTCGCACTGGATGATGAGCTCGCCGTCCGAATACGGCTCGGCGCACACGCAGCACATCACCAGAGACGCGCACGGCGCGCACTCTGCCCGCAAACACCATTCATTTTAGACGACATCACGACTACTCCTGCCTAAGCCCTGAGACGTTGCGAGCTGACAGAAATAGCTGCAAACTTACCGTTGGCCCTTCGAGCCGAATACAATATTTGTAACATTTTACTTTTAATGCCTTGGCGTGCTCACATCAGCATCAGTAGAGCTTCTTGTGAAGTTCCTCCAGGAAAGTACTGCCTTACGTATTTCTGCCTCCAAGCAATAACGTGGGCATTACAGCGTTCCGGTTTCGAAGGGTAAGGGTAAGGGTGAAATTACAAACTCATGGGACTTGACAACTTAAGTCTCAAGGTGTCGAGCGCAGTGGTAGTGGCCCTCAGATCTTTGCGATTTAAAGCTTTGTGGCGCTGCAACTATTATGGACAGGCGTGTCGCTTACCACCAGGCGCACGACTTGTTCGTCCCGTCACTTAATATTATAAAATAAAATTGTCTGTCGAAACATATTTTGGCATGATAAAAAACCTAATTATCCCCTGGAGTAAAAGTGCACTAACCAGTGTAATTATCAGCCCAGGCAACAGGATCCCTTGTACCGCAAACCAAACATCGTCGGCACCGTTCGCATCTCCAGGCAGAGCTCGGGACTGCCGGCAACTGAGGTTTGGCACAATATGTATGCCACGTTGTATCACAATCGTCACATAGCACGAGAAGTGGTTCATCGCCGCGTTGGCCGCAGCCTTCGCACACCGTGCAATCAAGACAGCGCCAGCCCTGTGTCACTATCACCTGTGAAACCTGTATGGAAAATGCTCGTATAAGATATAAGACTATAAAAAAAACAGCAGCCCGCAGCAGTATGCCGCCTCGATAAAGCAATTATAATTCTCTCCACTTCGAACTCTCAAATTCGAGTGATAAACCGGCCTTTTAAAATTTTATCACAATAGCTAACATGGCGAACACCTTGACGTCACTTTTTTATGTCATCGCAAGTGTCGCGGACAATAACTGCAAAAGATTAACGCAGTGTCAAACGTGGCTGCAAGGTCACAGCTGATTTTAAAACATTTTGACAGTTCTGCAAAGTCATTTTATCAACGTAAAAATTGAGCGCCACAAACGAGATAAAAAGAAATGATAAAAACAAACAAATTGATATATATAAATTATTGTTAAAAGATGAGGAGAATATTTTTAATACAGTTCCGAGAAAACCTTGTGCCGCAGGTGCCATGGACACACACATAGACGACCACAAAGTTACACCCAAACTCACGAGAGAAATAAATGTAGGCGATACAAATATTTCTCCCGGCACAGGAATCGAACCTGGGACCTCTGCCTGCCAGTTCAGCATGATAACCGTTCGGCGACTTAATAACTTTTTAATTGAATATCAACATAAATCAAATTCAAAACCTGTAATTTTCGTAACTACACAAATATATTATTTGTCAAGCGTAAAATTAAAACTGACCTTAATATTAACGCAATAAGGGTGATACGTCTGCCCGCACTGCGAGCAGGCAATGAGACAACCCTCGGAGTCAGTGCCGATCGCGCCGCACATCACGCACAGGTCTTGCGTTAACACGAACTTGTCTTTACTCGAACAGAGGACTAGCTTGTTTTCTACACCTGAGAATACAATAAGAACTATATAAAAGCCGCACGTCGTACTTTATGTCTGATTTATTGAAGTTGTGTTTGCTACTGACAGCCGAGTTACGCCTGGTCGATCAGGGCAAGGTAGAGCGAGGTAGACTGAACCCGCGAGGTAATTCGCACGCTCTGATTGGCCGTGAGCGCCGGTGGCGCATTAACTAGGCCGGTACGGTGTGGGAGACTCTCCGTACGCCTCATCTGTCTCATTACAGTAATTTTTAACGCCACTCTGACAAACTGCATCAGTGAAACGAGGCAGTGGTCATAGGTTTTCCCAAGACCGAGAAACCCCTCTCTGAGCCATTCAGCTACTGCCCCATCTCCCTGCATAACACCATGGGCAAACTCTATGAGCGCATACTTTAGGCCCGTTCAGAGACTACGTCATGTCCCACGCTTCCTCCCCAACGAACAGTTCGGCTTTAGAGCTAAGCACTCATGCGTTCAGCAAGTGCACCGTGTAATGTAGCATATCTCCGTACGATTCGACCGCCCCCACTTCATGCCCACAGGCGCCCTCTTCTTCGATGTGCACAGTCTAGCACAATGGCTTACTTTACTAGCTGTACAAAAAATGAAACTATTTTTCAACAGTCAGCCTGACCATGGGACCTGTAATGGGCCCAAAATATTGGTTTGTTTGAAAGAACAATATACGCTATTTATAACCGAGATACTTGTTAACTTTCTATGTGTAACAATCGCGAAAACCTAAGAACTCCTTATTTTAAATATATATTTATATTTCAGACAACATATTAGGTCCACAACTGTGTTAGCCTTTATTACTACTTAATAAATAATTAACAATGATTTCGTAAACACTACATAAGTCTCAAAAAAAAAACAATTTATATACATACTCGGGTCATCTTCAGGAGTCTTGTTATCCGGCGCCTGCGGCCGCTGCAAGCCCAACCCCGGAACACCAAAAACCCCTCTCATCTTCGGTTTGGAACCTCTCTTCCTTCCGAAGTCCAAAGCTGATCTTTGCCGTTTCTGGAAGCCTAGTTTGCCGGCCGTGGGGAAGCCTCCTTTCAGCTTGTACCCGCCCATCTTTTTCTTAGCTACTTTTGATGATACTGTATAAGGTTTCCCTTTGCCGAGGCCTACGTCGGACTACGGAAAAAAAAGTTCCATTAATATCCTTGAAATGTCTGCGCTTCTCCGTCTCATGCCCTGGCAGCCGCGTAAACAATTGCAAAACGTTTTTGTCGACAATAACAAGGGTGTTTTTTTTTAATAATTGCAAACAATGTTGGTACAAGCATTACATAGGTAATAAGTAGAAATAAGCCCCGTTGGGGTGTAGCAAATTTTTTTATTAGTTAGGCCGTAAGACTGTGGATGAGACTCACACTAGACCGAATAAGTTGGCGTGCAAAAAGGAGGCCTATACCCAACAGTGGGTGTTAACGGGCTGAGATGATGATGATTAGTTATTAGAAAGAACTAACTTTCTACTAATAACTAATAGAAATAAAAATTCATTCTAAATAATTATATCTCAAGCAACGAAAAAAACGACTAAACAAAAGAGGGAATTCCTTGTAATAGTACAGGACTGAATGTCAAAAGAGGGGTTTCCTGTAGAAACACAATAAATTTCCTCGCTTAAAGAATCCCTATAGTGACGCCACTGTGGTGCTGAAGCCGCGCCACTACTTATTTTCATATAATATTTAGAAGCGCAGTTGCAGGTCGACAGGACCAGAATTTATTTAAAAAATTCATTTCCCATAGCGGGACTATTGGATATCGAACTCCCTCGAGTTCGACATCGGGTTTACGAGAACTGTCCGTTCAATATCATACGCATTCTATTATAAAAAAAAAACACAAAATTGAATCTACTCTTCGTGATTATGGTTTAGATATGTATTATTTACCTTGGGTTCTATAGCAAGAGGATCTTGTTCCTGCTGCGTAGTCGGCGTATCGTCGAACGAGGAATCTTGTGATGTCGACGCCATTGTATCGTCTTCGAAAGCTGGTGAACATTTTTTTCAATGAACATATAAAGTCATAACATCGTAAGAGATTAATGTTTAGCTCATTTATGAAAAACAACAGGCCAACCACTACAAAAGGCGCATGTTGGCATCGATGCTCTTTCAGATTCGGTATTGCCTTTTAAACCCAACTGTTTCTACTAATTATCTATCAAACTTTGAACCGTGTTGCCATTTACATCATTGTATAAACAGTTTTAAAGATACCTAGTTCTTAGGAAATGAAATTATTTTTACGGATCTAAATATAATATCGAAGCATAGTGCATGATACATTATTATTATTGTTATTTAATTGGGTCTGGAGTTTGTTTTTATTTTATTTATATTAATGTAACGTATGTGTGCGCTTTAAGATTTTGGAATTTTGTATAATAATATAGATGTAATATTCCGAAATAAATGATTTAAATTTGGATTAATAATAATAATAAAATAACGAACACACTCATTATCAACTCAATATCAATTTACGGCAGTCAGTCGTGATCATTGGACCTCTGAGGGCCCGAAAACATTCGTTTGACAAAACAAAGAGAGAGTGTGTGATGGAATTGCATAATTTGATTCCGCCTTCCCTTTTCCATCATCGGGAGACTAGACGGGGGCGGGGGTTCCACCTCTATATTGTGGATATTCACACGAAACGTTTCGCTTCCACATTTGTATGGCGAGCGGCTAGGGAGTGGAATGCCCTGTCTGCAGACTTGTTACCCGAACACTATAACTTGGACCTTTTCAAGGCGAGAGTGAATAGGCATTATTTAGGTGTGAATGATACATCCTCGACCTCATCGTCACTCTCCATCAGGTGAGATGGAGGTCAAATGTACACTTTTTTTAAATAAAAAAGAAATTCGATTTACATCCGAAACATATATTTCGTCTGATTAAAGGTAAAACCACGTAAGTGACATTTTCCACAAAGTCTTTAATTTGTACTTCGTTTCAATCCATTTTGAACAAAAAGTAAACAAACAAGTCACTGACCCGACCATAAACGGTTTAGTGATGGCCTATTGTAACGCCAACCACAAATCGATTAATTAATTGAATGAATTGCTTGTTCAGCATATTTCAAATTTCAATTTAAATCCTCCTTCAAATCCTTACACTTAGATACTCGTTCGATTGCGATTGAAATGTTCGATTTAATAATCAATTACTAAACTTTAATTGATTGAACCGAATGTTTTTTTTCGAACAGCACTATGCAACAATAGGCAAGTCATAGAAGTATAGATGAATCGTAACCTCAGTTTTGGACTACCATTTTTCAAATACGATTTTACAATGCTATTCAAATGAATATTGTTGGAAAAAGTGATGGATGATATATCAAGTCGAAATCTTCGAAGTATACGTGAAAGTGTTACTTTACTTATTCGATTCATTGCTTTAGAATTTTAACCAAACCGGTTTGTTTACTTTTTGTTCAAAATGGATTGGAACATACTACAGGTATGGTACGAAAGCCACTATCTTTCAGCACGTGAAAAAGCTAATAAATACAATAATGAAAAAGCTATAAATTTAATAAGAGTTTTATCTGCAGAAAGATGGTGAATTTCTTACAACTGATACATAATTTGGAGATTTTTTGTGTAAAATGTCACTTATGTGGTTTTACCCTTAAGCAGACGATTTGTATTCCTAAGTTTTAAAGATTATTACTATCTAAAATAATCCATAACACTTTTCAAAGATAATTAGTAGCAAACAGTAATTTAAACGGCAAAAACACAAAAGCTTAGTAACAGATGAAGATCACACGCGCCTGACGACTAGTAATTTGACCTTGAAAACATTGTCTCGCTCTTGTGTGATATCGCCTTCTCTTTTTAAGTTATAGAAGTATCTTGATAGAAAATCAATGCCAGCGGCATGCCTTTGGTCTCAAGGTAGTTAGATAGTATAGTCAGTCTTTTTTTGAAGATGGAGTAAAATGACATTTTCAAGGTTGCCAGTTTTCGTAAACTTTTAAATAGTCATGTAATTGCTATCGATAGTTTTATCGACAGATTGTGAAAGTAGATAACTTTTTCCAAAAATTTCTGAATTGTGAATGTCTATTCTTATTTTGACAGTTGATCTATTAGTGTCGAAATCAATTTTTAGTCACACTTACACATTCTAATAACAATGGCCGGATTTGATTACATACATTAAATAAACTTGAAATCTTCAGAACGTGTTTCTTATTTGTATTTATTTCTATACACATATTGCTAAGTTTAGTATATGTATGAATGAATTTTCAAAGATGACCTGTGCCCAACAGTTGGACGAATAGTGAGCCGATGATTCAAATTAAACAATTTCGGCTATTTATTTCATAAGCGTAACCAACATTCGTTATAATATTTATCGACTGCAAGCAGCTTGCAAGCGGGCAACACTTTTGAGCAATGAACTGTCATTTAACTCCATCTTCAAAAAGGAAGGACAGACTTTAGTTTGTATAAACTGTCGAACAGTGGCGAAGGGTAAATATTTGAAGAAGATAAATATTGCAATACATTTTGGGGGTAAATTTATAAAACAAGCAAACATGTTATATCCGCCGTTCGCCACTGCTGACTAATCTACAATACTATTATGAATTTTGTATCTAAGCTCTGCGGCAATAAATAAATTACTAACTACAGTACGTACATTAAATTTGGCATAACAGAAAAATATCCTCGACCGATAGAATGTTTAAGTAAAGAACATAAAAAGGACCATAACCTCTAATTGAGCATTCCAGTCATCCGTATAATATAATTACAATCAGAAAACACACATGTACTGTCGTTCTTTCGAAAGACCAATCGCCAAAGACGGACCATTCTTCACCACGACAACGCGAGCTCAAGTGAATTTTTGAGCACTTAAAACGTCGGTTTGATGTGTCACCTGCCAAATAATTCTGATTTGGGACCCAACTGCTTCTTTTTTACCAGCATATCAAACAAAATCGAGGCCTACGTTTTTTGACACCTGAGAAGCGGTTGATGTACTTAAAAAGCATGTTTTGGAGGTACCTACATTAGAGTGGAAAAAGGGTTTAGAAAATTTGTTTAAATGCATACTACTAGCATATTGATCTTCTTGTGGAATATTTTCAGAAACAATAAAGTGATTTTTCTGTGATAAAATCGGTCCCTCCTACGTAAAGCGTTTTAAAGTTCTGAATTCACTGAAAGAGTGATCATCTAACAGATATCTAGGATTTTATAATAGTCCATGTGAGTAACAAGCCTTGCCGAATAAAACTGAGAAATGCTGAAGTCACGTGTTATGCTGATTTCAGTGAATTCAAAACTTTAAAACGTGCCCCTGTAAACTTGGCAATTTCGACATACGATACTTTACGTAGAGGGTCGAAATATTTGTTATTGTTCTCTAATCTCGAAATATAAAAAGGCAGCCCTAGTATAATGTCAGTGGAGTCTTAATAGAATTACAATGAACAGCAGACTTGGGACCCAGATTATTATGTAACGTAGTTCGAAGGGTATTGTAAGACTTCAAAGTGACGAGCAGTGTGTCTTCTGACTAATAACATAGTATAATAAGACAAATAGGGTAACTATACAAATGTATCAGCGCCTTGTACGGACGCACACACTCGCGCGACACTCGAATTGCAGAGCGCAGGTCGCAGGCGCCATTCATTCGGGTGCGTACAAATCTGGCGAATGCGCCGCAAAATTGTCTTATTACACTATGCTAATATTTTCTCTAAGTATTTATAATAAAGGCAAAATAAATAAAAAGCATTCAACTAACAAGCAGAACTAGTAGCGGTAGTAGCGGTAGCAGTACTGGACTTACTGCCGGCCATCTGCATGTGCGTCTTGCAGATGGGGCAGTTGTACTCATACGACGGGTTCTGTTCTTTCTTCTGCCGGTACGAGCTTGGCTCGGCGTCCGGGTCGCACATGCCGTGTACGTATCTGTCAATGAGGACGTAACTTCATTTAGATGGTAGGTGTATGCATAGGAGGATCACACTTGTCGCTGGCTTGAGCCAGTCAAATGAAAGTTTTGTGCATATTGCAATATGAGCGTAAAACTTTTATACATCATCAGCGACACACACGTCTTTTACACAACGGGCTATGTATTCATGTCGACTGTGAACTGGCAACCGGTAGTATCTCAATTTTGACAACTTTACACTGTCTTTACAGGCGAAGAAAAAAATTGTTTGCGTCATTTATATAGCATCTGATATATTAAATGAAAATACGTAGTTTTTAAATATTTTTATTACACATACACTATGTACATTTCATTTAATAAACCAGATGGTATATAAATAACGCAAGCAATTCTTTTCTTCACCTGTAAAGTCAATGTAAAGTTGTCGGAATTTAGATAGTACCGGTTGCCTGTTCACAGTCGATATGCTCAGAGAAAGACCTTTTTGAAATGCGCTATTTAATTTTTTTCGCATTTTTACATTACTATTCTTTTTCCTATTATTATCTTATTGGGAGATGTAGCCGAATTTATTTTATCTACCAAATAACTCACACAAAGAGCCCATTTCAATTATATTTATCTATTGGTATGCTGCAATCTGCAATTCTTTAATTCCAATCGTTGTGAGATTTAAATAAATAAAATATATATTTACACGCATACACAGTAACTTTTGCGTTTATAAAATAGAAAATAATTGATTTACAGTGAAATTGTGAAGGTACATTACAATTTAAATTATGACAAAGAACACAACTCAGTTGTAGCGTATACCGCTTACAGAGAATTTCCTACGATTCCTGCACTAGGCACCGCAGGTAATCAATAAAATCATTTTTAGCGATAAAATAATAATTATGATCAATCTGTATATTATGTTATGATTATTATATTACATTATCATATCATAATATTATATTAGATAATATTTCAAAACTGTAATCGAAAGTGTAGTTTATGGAGCAAATGCGACGGGTTCGATTCGCCGTAGATGTCTTCAAATTGGAAGTGCTATCTAGCAATGAGGCCGGCTACTGTACCCCGCGTTCCGGGCTCGTGGCGAGTTACCTCTTGCATATGGTGCACCGTATCATGTCGCGGTAGGCGGCGGCGCGGTAAGCGCGGCGGCAGAGCGGGCAGCAGGAGCCCTTGTTGCGCTGCTGGTAGCACGAGTCGCACACGGTGTAGTGCGCGTGCCAACGCGACGAGGGCCCCGCACCGGGGGACCGCGAACCGCAGTCCGAACACACGCGGCAGCACTGTCACAGACACGCACTTATATGTGTTGTGACGGTTACCTATCACATCCATAACCTCGAAAGTAATTTTGAGAGCAAAACGTTTTTTCTTTTAAACCTAACCTAACCGAACCTAATCGTGTCTTTGTGATAAACATCCAACATATCCTGAAAGAACAACGGTTTCGTTATAATTCAGTTTTCGGTGTAATAAAAATTCGAACAAACGTTACTTCGGAAAAAAACAATACGAGTTTGTGATAGGTTACCGTTGTGACTCTACTAGGGATGCACGACTTTTACCTTTGAACCGATTTTTTGGATCGTAATAATCGTAAATAAATCGATCCACAGACCGGATCGCATGCTCGTGAATCGCTCTCTTAAAAATCGTTTCAAAATTAATTTCGATAAAAAACAATTATTTTGACAGCCCAGATTTGAACCCTGGCTAGCTTTAAACGACTTTAGAGTGATATTTAGCCAGCGGGAAAAGACGTCTTTTATATGAACGTTCATATGGCACAGAACCAGCGACACAATCGCCAAATATTGTAGACTTATTGTACTTAGATGTTGCCAAAATGCTTTTCTTGTAGGCCAATATAAAATAGGATTAGCCTTACGATTCAATGGGGTTCAGAAAGACACTGTTTTGTTTAAATTACGAGTACGATCTAAACGATTCGATGCGCCTTAATGTTGAATCGATTTACTTAAAAATCGCAATGAAATTAATCGAAACAAAAAAATCCCTAGATTGTATACACTTGAATCGATGTACCCAAAAAATTGAAACGTAATGAGCATCCCTAACTCCACCTCACAAAAACTTAGTTACCAATTCCGGATCGCACCTCATTGTGCAATTAGATTCTCACATATAAAAATATAATAAGGAATCTGAGTGCACAATTTACCTAACTTATACAAAACATTAAAAAAGAAAAACCACAGCAATTGCAAGCCTCAGTAACAGTCAAAGTGTTCACTCATTGCTCTCGTCGCCGTAATTACACTCTTTTGGAAAAGATCCGGATCAAAAGTATTACATAAAATCATTGACTTACAAATAAATGGACGACGGGTCTAATACAAAAACCACGAAAAAAATGTCCCAAGTCAACCTATTTAAACGTAGTGACATGTAAAGGAATATGAAAAAGCTAAACCGTTGAATTTAAATTGTAATGTCATCGCAGTACTGTCTAACTTGCTTCGCTGTCAGTCGAACAAACAAAAAAAAGATTTTAACGCCCTATAAATTCGGACACTTTTTAGCGCGGACCCGACGTCCACATAATTGTAAGTCAATGCATAAAATGTTAAAATTAGTGTTACTGTAATTAGTTCGGACCGGGAGTAGTACAAAAGCGAGTTTATTTAGGTTACGAAAATTCGCTATCATTCCGTTTCACGGCAATGCAATTCGACCGATTCGTCGAGCTGACCTTGCACTTCCAGCCGTACTTGGGCACGGTGGCCATGATGGGGCGCAGGCACGTGGCGTGGTAGAGCTTGTCGCAGTGCTCGCAGGTGACGGCGCGGGCCTCGGCCGGGGCCACGCCCGGCGCGCAGTCCGCGCGGCACACCTGGCACACGCGGCACGAACGGCACGCCCAGCCCGCACGGACGCCTGCGTTTCGTCAAACTCTAATTATCATTTATTCCATAGGTAACAGTTTTACACTTGAAATAGTTCTTTTCACCTCACTAGCTCGGAAAGGCTTTCTTTCTCATTAGAAATCAGCGCGCAAAAGCTTTTTTTTGCACGCTGGCGTGAATTTTGAAATTCGAACTTGACGATGGACTGTCGTGCACCTGACTTTTCGTTTCGATGAAATAAAAAGATAATGGCACGTTCAATTAAGCGATTTGTCGTACATTAGTTATTTATGTAATATAAATCCGTAGCTATATTTTATTCTCATCATTGTTGACATTAAATTGACAATGATAACTAATTATGTTTGTTAAATAATTTTAATTCATCGAAGCACTAAAATAATTTCAATAATCACTTAATCACACAAAATAAAAGTACAAACAAGAATAAAAATTGATGAGGTGTAAATTCAGAACGCATCCGAAGATAAACTTTTTCTTTTCAATATAAAAGGTTTTATAGTTCAACTGTTTTTCTTTAATCTATCATTTCCCTCGCTATAGTGAAGTGAAAAGTTGTGTGTTTTGCTCGGCAGCAAAGTTGTTTTGCGTCTCGTGGCTTGAAACACTCGCTACGCTCAGGAATCTATACTTAAACTAAAATCGTAGCTTCCCTACAAATAACTATTGTTATGCAAAACTGCAAAGTTGTTTCTTGACGCGAGTACTTGTATTGAAACCTAAGCAAGCGAAGGAAGCTAAGATTCTTTATTACATCTACAAATTCCTGAGCGTAGCAAGGGTTTCAAGTGTTGCCGAGCGAAACATACATCTTTACACCTCACTAAAGCGTGGAAAATGTAGATGAAAGAATCTATTGAAAACTATTACATAACTGAATTTAAAATTAATGTAACGAACATGTATAACACTAGGTGAGCCCGTGCAAAATAAATATGTATGTCCAAGAGTAAATAACTATTATGGTAAAAGAACAAATAGACATCTCTTGCCAATTATATTTAATAAATTCGATTTTTTGAGAGGCAGAGATTTGTTAAGTAAATTCACATTGAAGAAAAACTTATACTTCTTGAAAGCATGCAAATTTAGTAAATTCTACACTGGTTTTGTTAAATGTACTCATACTAGGTATTGAGGTGAGTTTTTCCGCCGAAGAACCGCTTTCCCAATTTGGTGAGAAATAAATAAAATAAACAAAAGTTTTTTAATAAAAAAAGTTTACTTTCGGATGCGTTCTGAAGTTGCACCTCATCAATTTTTATTCTTACTTGTACTTTTATTTTGTGTGATTGAGTGATTATTAAAATTATTTTAGTTCTTCGACAAATTAAAATAATTTAATAAACATAATTAGTTATCATTGTCAATTTAATGTCAACAAAAATAAGAATAAAATATAACAACAGATTTATATTACATAAATAAATAATGTACGACAAATCGCGTACTTAAGGAATGGTGCTAGGGTAATAGGTCGCCAAGGTCACCGAAAGTCGCCGACAAGTGACGGCTGTAAATGTTACCTGGCATCTGCGCGAGGCCGACGCAAGTGCCGTGGTAGTGGGCGCCGCAGACCACACACGTCATCAGGTTGGCGATGTCGCCGATCGTGTGACACGTGCGGCAGTCGATGTCCGCAGAACCTGAGGCGTCACGACACAGAATATGTAAGTATAAAACAAATAGGTAAGTCTGTACGATTAAACGTCACTGATGCTGGATAAAACAATAAACGGAACAATATGTTATTATTATTGACAATTGTCTTGTCAACCACTGGTAGCTGTAAAGATATCTGGCTGAGTGAAGAAAACTTTCGTAACTTTCTAAGGTGACGCTGCGGCAAAAAAGTCGTTAAAACTCAATACTAAGATCTGCAACGATGAATGAGAAATTCGTAAGATCTGCTGACTCGATCTGTAGCTCAGTTGGTAAGAGCGGTAGCCCCGGTTTAGCAAACAGAAGCTGGTTCGAGTCCAGTCGGATCGAAGGAATTTTTCTTTCAGGTTTTTCGAAATTGTATCAATAATAATAACAAACTATTAATAATTGGAACAATACGTGTTTTGTTTTGTACAAAGACACTGTAGAAGGTGCAAACGAAGGAAGTTTGATATGTTCAGCCGGTGACGGAGAATGACCTTTACACAACAAAGCAACTTAAAGCTGCTGGTAGCCCAAAGAAAGCTGGAATGTGCAGTGAAATAAAAAACAGAAATCGAAATGGAGGCGCACGCACTAACTGACATAGGGCGTGTCATGGACCAAAGAAAATAGCGATGGGCGAGACGACTGGAAATGACCTGTGGAGCAGAAGTGTTGGAATGAAGACCGAGATCGGTACCAGAAACGTCGCCCGCCAGAAGGCTAGATAGGCAGACGACAAGCAAAGTAACCGGAAAAACCAGAGTGCAAATAGACCAAGATCAGAAAGGAAGGCGTGCAAATGAGGAGACCTAAAGAAATAGGTAACTAAAGGCTGAAGAAGAAAGTTATTGTAGGAGCCACGACAACGAACAGCACATCAATTCAGACAATAAACATGTTGTATCTTTGATATCATCATAAATACATCATACGTCCCACTACTGGGCTTGGGTCTCTTCAAAGACGAGGATTTAGGCCACAATTAAATTTTCCAAAGGTTGCAAACTTTTCATCACGATATTTTCCTGTTCGTTAGCGGAAGACATTTCTTCTTCACAAATATAAATAACTTAGTCCTTACAGTCAAAGGTACTTGAACTTGATAGTTATTCAGAAAAAAAAAACAGTCATCTTGCTTTAATGTACAACTACTGTAACAACATATCAACCGATTCTTAACTTCATTTCGAAAATAATTATATGCATATAAAAAATTATACACGTATATACTTACATACAACGGGCACTTGATGCAAATGGTCCTTGCAGAAGGCGGATCGCGTCTGGAAGTCAAGGAACCCTCCAGACGCAAGAACGCATGGTAAATGGAAGAACTTGCTGCAGCTCATCTGGGAACAAAGTTATAATAATTATTTACTATTATTTTAAACTGCCTCTGTGGCCGAGAATGGTTACCACGCCAGACTGAAACGCAGAGGTCCCAGGTACATTTCCCGGGGCGGGAGAAATATTTGTATGGCCTACATTTATTTCTCTTGTGAGTTTGAGTGTAATTTGTGGTTGTCTATGTGTGTGTCCATGGCACCATTGAGTGTGTGCGTTATTATTTATTTTCACCAATTGTTGTTACCAATATATGATATATATCCTTTAGAATGAATAAATTATAATTTTTACTGAAAAAATTATTTACATAATTTGATCCATAATTTCAAGGTCCATGTTGTGATGTACGTAACTGTATGGAGAAATTTGTTCTGGACACTCAAAAAACTTACCTTACAAGGAATACTAGCACCATGTTTGTTGCAAAAGGCACATTTCCTCGTCAGTGCATTGGTCACAATCCCTCTTATCCTCGCTTCTTCAATATGATCTTTATCCTCTTCAGGTCCCATCGTCTGGTCCTGGAAGGGAGGGCTAAACTCTATGCAGCACCGGTGAGTGTAAAACGCTCCAGAGGTCACTACTCCTGTCAGTTCTAAGATCTCCGCGTGACCAATGATTGAAAGCTCGTCCGTATGCTCCATATTGTAGAGAGGAGTTCTGGGGAAGATATAATTTAGTCATTAAAAGAACTTACCTGTAAGCGAAGTTCGATCGTAATTATACAAAGCTCTTCGTCCGATGAGATTAGCTTGAGATTGGTGCAAAGGTTTAAGGGACAGGAATTAGAAATACCAAACTAAAATATACTGAGGATAATGTACCTCTTCAGGTTGTTAATGCACAAAAAGACCTTAGCGTTACAATAACCCATAACCTTAAATGGGACGTACACATCATAGCCATAACCAAAAGAGCAATTTCTATGATGTATGTACATGATTGGGAAAGCATTTCACAGTATTACCAAGGAGTTATTTATAAAAATATACAAGACCTATATGCGTCCATTGCCGGATATATGCTTTTCAAATTTGGCGTCCCTATTTTAAAAAAGACATTCTTATGTTGGAGAAGGTTCAGAAGAGAGCAACAAAAATGGTTCAGTCCTTAAAAAACAAATCATACGAAGAACGCCTCCAAGAACTAAAATTGACTACTTTGGAACATATAGAGACTTACAAAATACTCAATGGGCACTAAAATGTGCGTAACATGAAGGATATCTACCTAATAAATCACAACAGCCAATTGAGGTGTCACTCTCTGAAGCTAACCAAGCCTCCATGTGCTAGCAACCCCAGAAAACACTTCTTGCCACTTCGCGTTACGAAGTTGTGGAATTCGCTCCCAGAAACAGTAATCAGTGCTCCGACAGTGAATAGCTTCAAAGCTAGACTTGATAAGCATTTTGAAAATTAACAACATACAAGTGCAGTGATATACACGCACCAGCACGTAGAGCTGTGTATTATTTAAATAATAATAATGTATACGCTTTTATAATAAGATTCCGATTGATATTCAAAATTTGCTATTTACGAGGTTCAAAATTATTGTGAAACAAAACTATCTGCGTAGTGACCCGTTTAGCTCTTGCAGGTAGTCTCAATAAAAGATGTTTAAATTAAATGTTGTTTAGTTTCTTAGAAGACAGTCTTTCTTCAAAAATCTCTAAGCAACAAACTGAGAGTGTACTGCAATGTAATAAAACCGATCTGGACTTAAGGGATACAATTGTGGTCAATAGCCAGCAAAACAAATTTACTTAGCCTTCAAAAAGCCCAAAATAACAACTGCTGCACCCTGGTACGCTCGCAACTCCGAAATAAAGAACTATGTGGAAAACGGTTCTCGAAGAGCTAAACACTATACAGTTCACTACTCATCATCGCATCGACATCGACTAGGAATTCATCCTAACCCATTGCCCCAAATACTGTTGCTGCTAAACAAAATTAGAAAACTGAAAAGAGCGGATGTGCTGTACAATTAAGGGCAGATAAGGCAATGGCCTTAATCTTCTGAAAAGCCCTATATCTTCCAATTCATCTGATTAGTCTAGTTGACTGATTGCATATTTCAAAGGAGAAAAAGAACTAATGTTATAATGATAAGTGTATTCAAATGTATATTTACAAAGAGCAACCCCTAGAGTTTCTTGCTCATTCTTTTCAGGGGAATCTGCCTTATGAATGAGCTGCAGAGTTTAATCAGTATGATGGTTTCAAGTGTAATTTGCTTACTTATGAATGAAAGATAATTGGATTTTGACTTTGCATTACAACAAGTACCAATCTCGAGTAAATCATTACGTATATTTCAAAAGTGACTATCAATCAATATTCATTACAAATTGATTATACTATGCAAATAAAAAGAACATTCTTGTAACAGACAGTGTAAAAGAGGAAGAACATACATAATTTAATTTCCAGTGTACATTGTAAACCCCTTTTTATTTCAATAAAATACTATACAGGATTTAACGAGTTCTTGGGTTTTCGCGATTGTTACACATAGGAAATGAAACTATTTTTACGGATTTAAATCGCGTATATTTGTTTTTTCAAACAAACCGATGTTTCGGGCCCTTTACACGTCCCATGCTCACGGTTGACTGGACCGGTTGATGGGTCCTGTAAAGGGCCTCAAACTTCTACGCGCAAATAAAAAAAAAACAAAAAATTTACGCGATTTAAATCCGGAAAAATAGTTTCAATTCCTAACTATACAGGATTATTTATAAAATAATAATAACCTCGCATGACCATATCAATAACATCATAAAAACAACTTTTGTTCCATGACTTAATCATCAGATCCCCCGGTTCCGCCGAGGCTTGCATAGAATTTTTCTTAATGGTAAGAAAAAAAATTAAAAGTAACATTTTCGCGGCCAAAGTACATACAAAAACGACGAAAAAACAAAAGAACACCAAAACACTTTGTTTCAGTTTTGCCGTTTTCTTTCTTTTTAAGTAAGCGGTACAGGTAGGTATTTTTAATTCTTGCAACTATGAACACGGGGCAGTTGGTTGTATGAGGTTTTCGTTTGCCTGTTTACATAGTTCATTATTAATAGGTAGATATAAAAGTTGAGAGAAGTGGACAGTGGTGAATTTTCATACTTCAAGTAAGTAGTCGCAGTTGCAGGCTTTGTCCGGGAAGAAGTCGCACGGTCCACAAATGACAAACTTTCCGTGTTCGTTTTATGAAAGAATGCAAACATTTCCGAGCATGTTTGAGAAAATAAATATATTTAAATAGCTCACTCGAAGCAGTAATAACTCTGCGTAAGAACGGGAGTTGCTTGCACATTTGAACTTACCGTACTACCAAGTACAGATGTAAAAAAGTGTCAGATAGTACTACAAAAACTTAACAAGTTTATGTTTGGTAAATCTATTTTGTTTTGTAAAAAGTCATAGAACAAAAGTTGTTATCTATATAAACATCATGATGTTAGTAATATAGTCCTGCGAGTTAATATTTTAAAAATAACCGTGTTTAACATTAATGCGAGTTGTACCAATACTGACTTGCACTTATTGAAGGCTTTCTGGCGACGACTGAGAGGCAGGCCAAGCGGGTGCGGGTTGGCGTCGGCCATCTCAGGCGGGGGGGACGCCAGGCCGGGAGGCACCGGCGTGGTGGGCGTGCTCGTCGGAGTGGCGGCGTTGGTGGGCGTGCCGCCGCCGGAGGCAACGGTCGGAGTGGTGCTGCCGTCACCTTCGATGTCCTTGCATAGGACCTGCCGCATCTCGCCTTGGCCAAGTTGGCTCCGCTCCGATAGGTTGCACAGAGCGCATAGTTTACCTGGCCTGTGGTACGTCAATGTAAGAAATATAGCAACCGAGTTAATGAAATATATTAAAATCAGATTTCAAAACTTTTTTGTTGTTGTTTTGTTTAAATTACATCGATTTATAACATATTTATTGTTCAACTTATATCTGAATGAGTAAAAATACTAGTAGATTAATTTGCATGTCATAATGCCTCTTTAATCATAAACAAAAAACTATTTTAAGTAAGAAAAATTGGGACAAAGTTAGAGGTAGTTAATAGTACATCTGTAGATCTGAAGATCCAATCCACATCCACTCACTTACGAGATATGGCAGTTTGGAGTTCAAGTGTTTCCCACTCTTGATGATTTTATTTTCAAAACTTATAATGTCATGTAACTTCAGATACATTTATTTATGTTTATATGTTGGATTTCTTTGCTGATCTAAGAGGTTAGACTTTAGGAACCGTTTGGTACATATAACTCATTATTTGATAATTTTTTGGGTTGGATCGTTTTTGTTTAACTACATCCAATTTTCCTAGGTACTATTTCTATTGAATTATATATAATGATAAGTACCTACTGTAGAAGAAAAGTGAAAATAAAAAAATGAACAGTGAAGAGGTGTGAGATAAGTGTTGACAAGTAGTTGTTGTGTGTTTAATTGTGTGGTGTTGTTATTTTTCTGTAGTGTTACTTTAAAATATCCATAATAAACCAATGCATGCGTGTGAGAGTGTATTTGTGCGTGTTTGTGTGCGTGTGCGCGCGTGTGTGTCTAAGTTAAGTATGTTAGATAACTGTGTCTCCTTACCACTTTTCCGGCATATAAGGCGGCTCCTCCGGCGCCGGCATGGTAAAGTCATCCTCGTCCATCATTTCATCCAGAGCATCGTCACGACTACCGCGATGCCTCTTCGCTCCGCGCACGGACCCCGGGTTGCCTCTATACCTATACCAACAAAAACTCAAGTTAACTTGAAAGTCACGGGGTGCACGAAAAGAGGCTTCTTGCACAAGACGTAACATTGCTTTACTGTACGTCAGACGCACCTTGGGCAACAATCGACAAGTACGTTACGCCGGCTACCAAATCCTTTTACCACAATGATAAGCATCACTTTGTATGTCATTGATATGATAAAAAAAGAAGACTAAAATCATCAAGACAAAATTACATAACATTAAATACATAACATTCAGTAAGTGTCATGAACGACGACTTAAGATTCTCCATTAAGAACATGCACGTCTCCGCAGTTGGTGCAACAGACTGTACAGTCACTTAATATTCTGCTAGGGAAAGTAAACAACTGAGAATTCTTATGATACTCACGTGCTTGGTTAAGCATGCAACTAACCTTCTAACTATCTTCCCTTCTCTAGTCAATTTAGGCCCATCCTTTCTAGGTCGACCAGGTCCCCGTCGCCCAGCAGAGAAAAACGGCCGATGATAAGGCTGATGATGAAAGAACGTCGGCTGTAAGGCTCCGCCGTGAGGCGATGCTGGCTCCTCGCCGCGCGGAGACGACGCACACGATGTTGGAGTAGATGCCGGACCGGGGTAGAACTCTGCAAAAGCTGTTTTTAGTTTTTTATTTTTTTGTGGCAACGTGACAACTCTGGTATCACTATAAATGGTATTATACCATTGCAGCCAGTATGTTTTGTGTGATGAGTTTAGGAGAGATACAAAAAAATATATATTTATTAGTTCATGAAAATATCATATAAATAATCTACTCCACATACTATATAATATATAGTATCAGTGATTGGAACTGAGGGAGATAAATAACCTAAATTTCAAGTAAGGTAAAGAATAATATGGACATTCCCTTCTGCAAATCTCAGAACTGATTATGTTTGAATATGCATAGTATTTACTGAAATTTGTGTACTACATTGGCTACAAATTATTATTTTCTATGACTATTTGCTACAAATTATTCTCAAAAAATAATATTGTAGTTGCATTTCTATAGGTGCATACTTACTCAGCAAAAGATTATACAAGAATGCTTTGCACACATATTTCACTGTGTAAAGAAGTAACTGCTCTTTCACACAGTACAAAAACTCACCAGATCATTCAGACACTGTGTCTTATTTATTCCACCAATCTTAGATATATTTCTCCTTTTGAGAGAACAATTACTTTACTTACAATTACAATGTTTTTAAATAAATAACATACACACTCATAGCTCCGCACTAGGGAAACCCTGTGCCACGGGTTTTGACACACACATAGAATGCCACAAATTACACCCAACTTATGAGAGAGGTTAATGTATGCCATACAAATATTTCTCCTGGACTGGGAATCGAACCCGGGACCTTTGCGTGGCAGACCAGCACGGTAACCGTTTGGCCATGGAGGCAGTTCATATATTACTGACTTACTGTCAATATGTATAAACATTGTAATGAATAACATACAAACGCTAGTAATAATTAAGTTGCATTAATTATTAACAATATGATATTTATTTGTTGTCCAAATAAGCAATAAATAAATAAATATTATTATAATTAAATGGGTATGTCCATACTAAGAAAATGCTCAAACTTTAGCATTTACCTAAAGTTTGAGCATTGACTAAAACAAATGATATAAATTTCAACATCTATAATCAAATAAATAAATTAAGTACCTTAATTCCAATCACTGATCATCATACCTGGCTGTATGTTTTGTAATCTCTTAAAACATTTTATAACATAAAATAACCTAGATGTGAATTAAGAAATTGAAGACGTTAGACGAAGCTGGTACAAACCCAACAAACAAGAATAAAGCTATATAACCTCAACCACTCTTGTTGGAATCACAAAAGTTTAAATGAGTAAACACGTTATATTGAACATGAGTGATAATATACGGACGGTCAAATAAGTATCCAGCGTACCTGAAGACGGCGGAGCTTCGCCATCGTCCTCAGACCCCTCATCTCCCAAAAGGTCAACATCCAGTACATTCTCGTCCGGCACGTCCATCTAAAATGCACCCAAAACATAACTTATACTTTAAAAACATCACAAAAACAAACTCCACTGCACACGGCGAAATAACCCAACATCGAAAACATAAAACTAATGTAATCAAGACCGCCATAGTGAACGACAAGTGGAAACAACTTTACTTCCAAACTTACCGCAAAACCTCGCGATGGACGCGAAATCAATAAAATTTACGACAAAACACTTGAAAAAGAAAAGAAATGCATTTTTATGTGATTTACATTGAAAATCATAGAAATAATTAAAATAATACGACATTCGCTTGTTGCGAACGAACGCACATAGTGATGAGACAACGATTAATTTTTATCGATAAGCGCTGTAGGTTACGAATCGATACTTTTGTAGTATTAAAAATTTCTAAAATTTTAATAATTTAATTTATTCTGGAATTAATTGTAAAAATACATAATTGCTTTCATAGCAAAAGTGAAAATTGCTTAAAGCGGAAATTTCAATAACGTGGTACGTGGTTCATGTTTGTTATCTTTGAGGACATACAAGCAACAAAATCATATTACAATGTGCCTTCACTAATGTGCGTGGAGTGCGACTGTGCGTGTGATTGGCTTGGGTAAAAGACGTGTCAGCATTTGTTGTTTTTATAAATTTTTCGGCAATGTTACATAGTAACAACATGAAGTACACATTTATATGGACTTTATTGGTTATATCTTGGTGTGTTGGATGTAATTCATCACTGTTTGATGGTGATTCATGTTTCACTTTCGGAAGTGGAAATGTATTTCCTGGGGGAGCAAGAAAAATTGACCACAAGTTACAGTTTACGAAGGCAATGAGTGAGTATTTAGTTTTATTATGTATGTACCTACCAATTACTAAAAATCACTATGAAATTAAAATTATTATTATTTGCTTTATTTCAGTTTCAAAACCGGCACCGGAGTGGGAGGCAACCGCTGTTGTTAACGGTGAATTTACACAGCTGTCATTATCAAGTTTTAAAGGAAAATATTTGGTATTCTTCTTTTATCCCCTGGATTTGTAAGTTTTTTATATATATTTCATATTAATTAAGTTTCTCTCCCCTAAATTCAAGTTACAGTCAATTTTCAAACAAATATTATATTCACTGCCTTCGTTTACCTATCGTGTTCCTTATACAACAATTTATCTTTTCAGCACGTTCGTATGTCCTACAGAAATTTTAGCATTTTCGGAAAGAATTGAAGAATTCAGAAAAATCGATACGGAAGTGGTTGCTTGTTCTGTAGACTCTCATTTCACACATCTAGCATGGATTAACACTCCTCGTAAGGAAGGTGGCTTAGGAAAAATAAAAATACCACTTCTAAGTGATTTGACTCACTCCATTGCTAAGGATTATGGAGTATATCTTGAAGATTTAGGTCACACTTTAAGGGGCTTATTCATAATCGACGATAAAGGAGTTCTGAGGCAGATAACAATGAACGATTTACCTGTTGGAAGGTCTGTTGACGAAACATTAAGATTAGTTCAAGCTTTCCAATATACCGACAATCATGGAGAAGTATGTCCTGCAGGTTGGAAACCTGGACAAGATACGGTAAGCTATTTATTTGTACATCAGAACTAAATTTCATATTTTTGTGTAACATTTTATTATGAATGTCACTAACATCATCAAATGTTACTTTTTTTCAGATTATTCCAAACCCAGCTGAAAAGAAAAAATATTTCGAGAAAGTGGCGAAGAACTAGCATAATAATGAATGATACCTCCATAATACTAAAACTCAGATTACTTTAAAATATTGAAGAAGTGTGGTTGATATAATTATGTTTAATATCATTGGCCATGATCAAACAAACATAACAAATCGAAATTGATTAAGTGAAAGATAACAAAGTGCTGGTATTGATAATTTTGTTAGTTTTTTGACAAATTGATGCACTATTATCTTGTTTGCTAATTTACTTATAAAAGACATTATATAATTTTTACTAAAAAAAAGTCATTACATGTGAAAAGTATTATTAAGTATGTAAAATATGTTTTGTATAGCTGTTGATTCCGTCGTAAAAATTCATAGTCATTTGTGAAATAATACTTAAATCCCATCTGACCAATTAAGTTTTCTCAGTTCAAATTAACTTTGACATTGACCCTAGTTAGGTACCTACGCAATTTCTACCTAAGTAAAATAATCACTACTAATTTATAAGCATTCAGTAAATCAGCTAAACATTTAATTTTCTAATACTCTTATAGAAATTTTAATTGTGATAGATTTTATTAAATTAAATTTTAGCATTTTTACTAATTTTCTTAGAAATGCTTATTATGTACCTAGTATACATCACAACAGTTACATTACTAGTCCTAAAGTACTTAACAAACATATTATGTAGGTACTATTTTACAATTTTGATACTATAGATTAAATTATATAAATTAAGAATTATCATCACTGAGAAGACTGAGAGGTTATTACACATTCTTGAAACGTTAAAGTTTAGAACCAATTTTTAATTAAATTACTGACAACTTCAATGGACCCCGCATTTTCAATCTAGTTCCTATTAGTATATAAATCTGATCATAGCAAAAATACTATTTAGTAGTTTTTGTTATAGTGTAAAGTTTTTCAGAAACAAAATGTTAACCTCGCGATCGCGAAACTAACCAATCAGGCATTCGGAGGTGCTCAAATAGTCAATTTCTTGACATTTTATTTCGTCGTAAAAAAGGAATAGTGCACCTACCAAATTATTTTTTTTATCAATGCGTAAACGAACTGACTAAAATTTAAAAAGTCGATCAATTATTTTTATCGATCAATTATTCGTGTCCAACACTAGTTTGTCACTCTGACATTACTTGTCATGTCACAACAAAACAAATTTATTATTATTATCTAAACCTTGGTAATATGTCGCGCGTGTTTAATTCATTCTTCTCAAAAACAATTTTAATTCACGATATTTTTGTCTATACAAACACTTTTTTGCAACACAAGTTAACCTTCAACGTTATTGTGTTGTTGTAATAAAAAAAAGTTAGAACTTTTTAATCACGAAATGAAACTCATGTAATCAAATCATAAACATCGAATTGTCAATTTCAACAAGTTTATATACGATTTGATTACATTTTTGTTAATTTATACAAAGCACTTTGTGGATCACATCAAGCAAAATTCAAGTCGGTAGAAAGCAAATTGCAAATTATTAATAATTTCAGACTTAGGATTACAAAAAAAGGAGAAAATAATACATCTTTGAGTAGAAATAATAAATTTAATTCTGATACGTAATTTCTTATTCTAATATCTATATTCCCAGCTGGTATATGACTCTTGGTGGCGGTTTTTCTTGCATGAAGGTGATTGATTGATCCTTGGGCTGGGGATCGTTAAATTCGTTAAATTCAGAATGCTGAGATTGTTGCGAATCATGACATCCCCTCCACGAGGCACCGTCGTCGTAGAAAACATCTGGCACCGTAGAAGTACTTCAATTAGCTTTGTTCTATTTTCTTTGTTTATTAACATTACCATTATGCCTAAATATTTACATCAGGGCTGTCCGCACCATTCATATTACATAAATAAATTTAAAAAACCCAAATCGTAAACGTCTTACTTTTTTTATTTATGACTTGGTAGTTGGTACTTCACGATTATTATTTGTGCTATAGAATACTTTATTTGACATGAAATATATTAAAAAATAAAAGAAAATACAAATTAATATTAAAGAAAATATATATTAAAAGAAGCTATGACCAGTTACAAAAGACTTATGAAAATATACTGTCCTCACACACGCGGCCATATTTTTGAATTTTCCTAACTGTAAAATAAATACTGACGACAATCGTACATTATGTTACGCGCTCATAGTACAAACCTAGTTATCTGACTACAGATAGCTTCGTAGTTTATTATGCTAACAGTATGGATACTTTGATAGATAGTAGGTATAGTACCTAATTAACTTGTCACTGTACACTTTTAATTTAAATGTAAATTTTGTCATTTGTTGTTCACTTGAGGTGTGTATAATACTTTAAAGCTTGCAACTAATTAGTTTTGTTTGATCTGCAGACAAGCATACATACACGCAAGTTAATATTTCCTTTTATTTATAGTTGCACATAGGTACGCAATTTACAGTATTTAATAATCTATTGTATATTGAAATAACAACCCATTGTTTCATTTTACTGTACGTTATTAAAAAAGTATTGCTCAGAAATTTAGTTACTATTCTAAAACAATTCAAGTAACATGATAAATCAAATCAATTTTATAAACTCGCCAAAATATGTAGAATTTTCGAATTCATAGCTAAGCTGTTCATAATACCTAGATAATCCATTGTAATAGACATACAGATATTGAGTGCCACTAAGAATCCCGTTTTACGTGAGCAGCATTAATAAACTGAACCAGTCTATTTATAACAATAATCTATTAATTGGACAGCCCAATTTATGTGGTCTGTGGACAGCCCTGAAATCAATAGGTGTTTATATAACCCTTTGTTGTAAAAGTCGTCTTTATAAACAATGGCTATGACGAAATCCTGCAGGATTTTTTTTTAAATTCATTCTATATAACATCATTCATCATTTCTTATATATATTCACTTTGGGTAGTCATTTTTCTTAATTATAATTCGTGATGCATTTACACATTTATCACCTTTTTTTTGTCACCACATCATCATTTCAAAGGACGTTAGTTAAAAGTTGGTACTCTATCCGTGAAACTTATAAATGTGCCATATTCTGTGCTACATCTGAGCTGTCTGGACGTGCAGTGTCCTTTAAAATATTGTACTTGAGTGTAAGCAACATCGTTAATAATTTCAAACTTGTGTCAAGATTTCTTTACATTTTTAGATACAAATAACCAATCGCCGCCTACGCCTATCGACCTCGTAACGCCACAACACCGCGTGCAAAGGCATATTAATCAGACGTCAAAGATGGTTGATCCGAACCGCGTGGTCAGCTACGAAGACATGTTAAAGGTGATCAACGAGCCGCAGAAAGTGATAATTGACGTGCGGAACCCGGACGAGATCAACAGAACCGGCAAGATTCCTTCGAGCATCAACATTCCATGTAATCTTTTTAAAATATTTTACGCACTTTATAGATTCGGTGAGAAAATGTTGGTTCGTGGTGTAATGCACACGAAATTCAATTTGAACCTTATATTTTAATTGTGTTTTTTAATGATGTCTATTGATGGGACAAACTAGGCGTGCACTGGTGGTAATCGACACGCCTACCTATAACAGACGAGCAGTGCCACTGCGCCCGTCGCTCGAGACATGAATTGATAAGTCCCACGTGCCTGTAGTTTCACCATCACTCTTGCTCTTCAAAACCGGAACGCAGTAATGCTCACATTACTGCTTGGCGGCAGAAATAGGTATGGCGTCAGCCCTCTCCTGGACGAACTCTTTCACAAGTAGCTTTACTGTAGTGTTGAGGTCAGTGCTGCCAGGTCATATCTTAAAAAATCGAAAGATATTGCACAGAAAAAACAGCAGATTTAGAAAAAAAACAGTAGATGCTGAACTTACGCTGTTTGAAACACTTTTAATCGATTTTCTTCAAACATTGTCACCTAATATTTTTAGTGTTATCTTATGATGCTGGTATCTCACAATAAAAATTGTATTTGAATAATAATACCATCTCAGAGTAGCTAGTCATTACTGTTATTATGTTACTTCTTCGCATTTTTTAGACCTGTGATTGACAAATTTGCCGAAATACCAAAAAAAAAAATTAAAGGACGATGTTCTATGATTTGACCACATTGCAAAGTTTTGTAAAAACTCTGACAAATGTTCAATATGTCCAGAGAGTAACATTTGAGGACGTGATCGTTAATGCTAAATGCATGCACGTTAGAATGACAAGAACTGTTGTGAAAAGTGAAAAATCTGGCTAAAAAACAGTAGATGTCGTCCAAAAACAATAGATCTACTGGAAAAACAGTAGACCTGTCATCTCTGGTTGAGCGATTCATAAATCGACCCCTCCTACGTAAAGTGTCGTATGTAGAAATTGCCAAGTTAACAGGGGAGCGTTTTAAAGTTCTCCGTTTTATTCAGCAAAGCTCGTTACGCATATAGAGTGATCATCTAAAGGATCATCTAAGCGATATATAGGATTTTATAATACTCTATGTCAGTTACGAGCCCTGCCGAATAAAACAGAAATGCTAAAACCACGTTATGCTTATTTCAGAACTTTAAAAGGCTCCCCTGTAAACTTGGCAATTTCGTCATACGATACTTTACGTAGAGGTCGAAATGAGTCACCTCTTTTGTACCACTCATTTCGCTGTTTCACGAAAAAGTCCCACCTCAGATTTTATCTCGTGTCACATCGATACTATTCGAAAAAAAAAGGATTCAGGCGAGGTAAATGACAACGAGAAATGAAGAAACTCGAGGGAGTAAACAAGACAAACTCTCGGATCAACGAAACAAGTTACCGAGCATTGGTTTTAGTACATTGCGCCATGCTGCCATGCTGCCTCTCCTTATTTGAGGTAGGATTATTTTTTTCAAATGTTACTCACTCAATTTATTTTTATTTAATGTCCTACCCAACACTACTCTGCTGCTACGAAAATACAGTCAGGGCTGTTACCGATAATCTGGTATTGACATTCTTAATCTAAAAGATTTTTAATTATCAATAGAAAATCATAAATCAATCAGTTCAATGATTTGAAATTGGTTAAGCCGCTTTCCCATCGCCAACATTCCCTCGCTTCGTGTGTTAAAATAATGAATACTGAATAGCAATCCCATTAAACAAATTACACTTTCAACTCACACTGGCTCGAGTCGAAGCGTCACGACGCGTCATGTTTTTCGCCTATAGTATATTCGTCTCTATTATCCCATTATTAAGGTACAAATTTGTGTTATGCAAATTTGGAGTCGCGCATCGCCGCGCGTTACTTGAGCGCAGTACGCCCGTTGCCAGGCGTTGTAGTTGAAAAATCAACTCACACTGGCGCGATGCTTCGACTCTGCGCCAGTGTGAGTTGAGTCTTATATGTATGTCTTCCGTTTCCGATAACACTCTAAAATTGTGATATTTGCCAACTTGCTAACTATTTTATTACACGCCATTTAATTTATCGATGCGTGTCCAATGAGTTTAATTAACTCCAAACCGCAAAACATATTTAGTTCCCTCGCGGTAAAAAAACGTTTTTCTTCGTCGTCACTATATCTATTCTTCTCTAAAAATAAGTAAAATGAAAAAGAAACCGATTTTCAGATTTTATTTGGTAGATGTTCGCTGCTGGAGGCACTGGAGGATTATTTTTAAATTTAAAATGAACTGAACAACATAATATAAAGAGGTTCCGAAAACATAAGCTGTGTAGCTGTACCGAATTAATAAACATAAATTGGCGCTTACCGAATTGACAAAACGTCTGTACTATATCTGAACCATCTCCTCCAAAGACCGTTTTTTATACTAGGATAAAAAATCTACGTAGGCATAGTTGAGATTTTGTAATACAAAAATTAAATACGTAGCTGATGCAAGTTTGATGCTTCCCTTCAACAATTTCAAACCACTTTCATACAGTAAAACAGATGACGATCGTTATTTTGAAGTGCAAAATCACATTTTAATTTTTCATCAAACTGCCAAAGAAATTTCTATGGTCACAGCATTGACTTACAATTATAAAGTCAATGGGTCACAGCTACAGCAAGCGACAATGCCAAAATTTGTAATATTCGGTACTCCTTGTTTGAAGTTTAGTTCAACTTTTTTCTGTGTTCACTAATATTGTAATGACTGTTTGTACATACATACGAAAATAAAGTGAAAGAAGAAAATAATAAAAAAATTCTGAGTGATTTAGTAACAAATGCCTATTTTTATTTTACAAGCAAAACATAAAATTTAAAAAGATTGGTAATAGTTTTTAAATAGGTAATTACACGTGTGCTATATAAGTCATATTTGTACACCAAGTACCAAGTAGTCTATCTATATTGTATCCAAGAGTGCTTATGACATTTTCCTTATATATTAGTGAATCATATCGCTATGGAACAAAATGGTTAAAAAAATTGGCAGTAAAATTTGCTAATTTGTTTATAACAGATTTATTAAAATTGATCAAGTTCCAAAGACGGGGTGAGGTATAATGAAATACAGATTAACGTGTCAAAATTAATTTTATTTTTGTATGTAGTTTCCATTAAGACGGACGCTCTTAGGTAACTGATTTACGCTACAAAGCAGTTATGCCCATCCATAAAATGATTTTTCTGAAAACCTGCAAAATATTCATCTACAGCGTAGGTTCCCAAACTTGTTGGCTTACCGCCCACTTAGACAAGGTAAAACAATTTCTACCACAAAAAAATAACTGAAAACGCGTATTTTATATATTAAATTAACACAAAATAAATCAAAAAATTATATACCTATATATGCAGTGTAGTATAAAAAGATAACTTAGGTTTTTTTTTCTTCAAATGCGGTGGTACTAACTGGTAGGCCAAAAATGCAGCCAGGTAGCTTGGCCTTTCCAAGGTGAGGTGTTATTTCACATCGCTACAGTTGCTTCAGCTGTATCAAGCACAAGCCCGGTCGTGAATGGACTACTTACTGCTGCCACCTTTGGGACGGCTCCGATACATACCATCTGGCCACCTTGGATTCAATTGACAAGCGTGCCGAGAGGTATATAGGTGACTTGGAATTAATAGAGACGAAGCTGCAGAGCCTTGAACACCGCCGTAAAATTGCCTGCTTATCCGTATTTTACAGGATATCACGGAGAGTGTGCTATAGAATTACACGACTTACCCTTTTCATCATCAGGGGACTAGACGAGGCTTGGATTCCACCCCTAAGTTGTGGATATTCCAAAGATTCGCACGAAGCGTTACACTTCCACATTTATATGGCGAACGGCTAAGGAGTGGAATTCCCTGCCTGCAGACTCGTTCCTTGAACGTTATAACTTGGACCTTTTCAAGGCGAGAGTGAATAGGCATTATTTAGGTGTGTATGGTCCATCGTCGATCACATCGTCACTTTCCAGTCAAATGCGTACTTAAATTTGTATAAAAAAAAAGTACTCTCTGGATTGGATCAAAGCCCCCAATTGCTACCGAGGCCCGTACCGCCCCCCTAGGTCTCTTCAGCGCCCACTGCGGGGGCGGTATGGATCACTTTGGGGAACTATGCTCTACAGCAACCGTAAGATATCATTCGTCTCACATTTCAATCAAAAAGTTTCAGGTGTTATAAGGTTTCAAATTAGTATAGGTAGTAGTAGAGCTCCAGGTTAAAGAGTTCGTCCAGGGAAGTACTGCCACCTTACCTATGTGAGCATTAATGCGTTCCGGTTTTGAAGAATAAGGGTGCTTGTGAAATTATAGACAAATAGAACTTGTCAATTGAATATTTCTAGATTTATTTTTAAAACGTTATTAATGTCGATTTACTCGTCAGGTAACGTACTTCCGATATCAGTTGAAGCTTTTTGTTATCTATTATATTTGTGGAATAATCGCCTGGGCACACTTAACGATTACAGCCTTTGTACGACTGTGAACTGGCAATCAGTACTATCTCAATTTTGACAACTTTGCAGGTGAAGAAAAAAATTGTTTGCGTCATATATAGCATCTGGTTTATTAAATAAAAGTACGTAGTTTTTAAATATTTGTATAACACATAATGTATGAAAACTACGTATTTTTATTTAATAAATCAGCTGCTATATAAATGATTTTTTCTTCACCCGTAAAGTTGTCAAAATTGAGATATTTGTATTTGAGATAGTACTGGTTGCCAGTTCACAGTCGAATATTAAATTGTTCCATCTATGTTAGTTGATCTTTGGATAAATTATAAATGAACAGCATTCAAGGTTCAACTGCACGCTATTATTATGTTTAAGCATAATAAATTAATATTTGGTATTCAAAAATAATATTTGATCTTTTTTTATCATTAGTCTTTTCTTTTAACGATTAGTATAATATCTTTTGATATTGATCTCATAATAAATCTTGGTTGCGCCCTCCATTCAGTAGGTTAGGTTCGTATATGAAAAAGCAGAAGCCAATTTGCTTGCGTTTCCGAATATGTTTTCAGATAGCAATATCAACATTTACTTAGTTTTCAAAATAGGTATCTAAATTTTATTTATAATGCTCATTTGTCTTAGTTTTGAGGCCCAACATAAAACTATCAAAGTTAATTTATAATAAACAAATCGTACGTTTTTGCGTAGCTCACATATTAAAAATCCATCGATTTATGTCCCAGAGAAAGAGGATCAATCTTTAAAAAAGATGACCGTTTCGATTTTTTTGCCTGCTGCTTTTGCAAATTTACAATGATCATTTAAATACATGCCAATGTCCACTATGCGTAATTTTGACCTACAGGTCAGTGTTATATTTATTTATCGACGTAAACAAATTTTTATAGGCCACCTTATCTCAAAACACGTCAAACATTTCGCCGCACTTATCCATTATCCCATTATTTTCTTTCAGTGGGCAATGTAGATCAAGTGCTTCAGTCGATGTCAGATGAAGAGTTCAGGAAGAACTTTCAACGTCATAAGCCGTCATCAGAAGACGAGCTCATCTTTTACTGCCAGTCGGGCCGACGGTCTAGCGAGGCACTAGACTTGGCCCTGAAACTAGGGTTTAGGAAGTGAGTATTATAAGACGAGGAAAACGAAAAAATGTCTATACTACCTACACGTTATTGTTGAAACAAATGTCCTCCAAATTTGATACCTACCTACTTACAACACCTTGCACACATTCACTGTTGGACATAAGCTAGTGTAGGTATTAGGGCGCGTTTCCATTATGTCTTAACATTTTATTTATCGTTGGACGACTATCGCGTCTTCCGTGATCCCTTATCACGACTATCTGTCATATCCAGCTGTTCCCACGAGATCGCGACAACAATTTATCGTTTCCGCCTTGTCGTTTGCACGACAGAATCGTTTGAAGGTGCGATTATCTGTCGTCACATTTTTATCGTGATGTTTTATTCGTCCGGTGACTGTTTTAGCTCTTCCCATTGCCACGACAGTTTGTCGACGTAACGACAAAAAGTCGTGAACGACAGTTAATCGTATTGTGCTATGTGTGAACAACTTCATTTAAATATATAAGCCACGACACTTTAAACTGCACGACTATCTGTCGTCACGATTAATGGTAACTCCGTGTAAACGTGGCAGTGCTGCTTGTATGCGTGCGTGCCGTGTATGGACACACTATATGCATAATTTCGTGATGCGCTACACTCGCCTATTCGCGTTGCATAACACTGGTCGTCCCAACCAGCACCGACGCTGATATTCAATGCGGATGTGTGGCATGACCTAAACAGCACGCTGGAATAATTTACTAACCTTCCAGAAACAGACTGGTAGCCGAAAAAGCAGTTCAGCTGTTGTAACGATTAAGCTAGGCAGGTTGATAGTTTTCATGAAGATTGATTATTTTATTAAAATAAATAAATAAAATTAAATTGTAAATGTTACAAAATTATTGAAATAAGATTTTACAATACCAAAGAAAGTGGAAAGCTTTTCCATGTAGATAGATTCAGTAAGGATGTACAGACAGCAACACATCAAGCTACACGTTGACGGATGTTGTTCCTTAGCACTGCAGGTGGCTATATTCGAACAAAAGTGTCTAGTGTGTGTAGTGTATGTATGTGCTATAGACTGTAAATCTTTCGCGTTTTTTTACCGACTTCAAAAAAAGGAGGAGGTTCTCAATTCGACTGTATGTTCTTTTTTTGTATGTATGTTACGCGATAACTCCGGTATTTGTGAACCGATTTTCATGATTCTTTTTTGTTGGAATGGGGGTACTTCCATAGTGGTCCCACTTTATTTTGAAGCAAATTATCCACCGCTAAGGGTATCTATTCACGCATGAAGATTCATTTTTATAAATAGCGCCTAACTTTAATGTAGGAGCAATTATTTTAATGGTTGATTTTGCTAATTCTCCAATTCAAGGCGTTTTCCCGCTTCCGAGAACCGATTTTTATTATCTCCAGTGTCAAGTCCTGTATAGTGGTGAACTAGGGGATATTTCAATAAAACTTAGCAAATAGACGTAATTCCACGTACTTTTCAGGTGGGTTTTTTTAGTACTCTGTACTGACATTATTTTAAATGCCTACATAAAATCAGCTTCCGCTAATGTGTAATAATCCTCCGTCGGCAGCAACCCTGGTACCAACGCGTCTTTCATTATGCGAATGTGTGCCACACATACTACAAATGGCGCTGTTACTTTGTGTGGAATTACCATACTTCACTTATTTTATTGTTTTATTTATGACGCAAGCACGCCAACGCTCCCGGTCCTTAGCCGCCCGCATCCAGTCGCCGCCTTTTCTCATGTCTCGTATCTTGCCGTTAAACCTCATACAGTCAAATATTATTACTATTAGGGCGAATTCATTCAGGGCTCACGCAGCATCCCATCACTGCGACTGTGATATATTGGGAACACTTAAATAATACTCAATGAACATATTTAGAGGAACACTAAAAAAAGGCAGAACGTTTAATAGAAATCAGAAGACGATTGAAGTCTTTATTTTTTCAAATTAAACGTTCTAGTATATGCGGCCAGTTGTTCATGAACTTCGTTATCATAATTGAATCTTTTTTTATATGTCCATCAATGTATTTTGTAGCAAATGCGCGACAAACAAGACCATTATTGCGGACGGTGCATGTGTTCTAATACGGTGTGTTTTTTTAAATGGGACAGTATGCGGAAATTCGAAACTATAGATACAGGAATACTGTCTTACTAACCATTATCTTTTTTTGTGAAATCAATTTTGGCTTAGTAAATTTTTTGGTCAAGCGTGTGTTGTCCATAAAAATTAATAAAATTGATTATTTTTTTAGTCTTGATCAACTCAGTTTCTTATAAGAATAATTTCATTGTATAGTAAAAAAAGTCGGGACAACAGAAGTTGGCCAAAAACAAAATGTTATTCATTTAGTATGAAGAGACTTTTTATTCAATTTGACCAACTTCTGCTGTTCCCATTTTTTCTTACTGTACAATGAAATCGTCCTTATAAGAAACTGAGTCGGTCAGCATTGAAAAATTAACAAATTTTATGCCTTTTAATGGACAACTAACGCTTGACCAAAAAATTGTCTATGCCAAAACGGTTTCCACAAAAAGAACTCTTAATGGTTCCTAAGACAGTTTCCGTTTCGGTTTAAGATTTCCCCATACTGTCCCAGTTAAAAGAAACAACCATATAATAATGTGTTTATTGCGATTTTTTTGTGAAAAGCTCGACTAGTTTTGTTATGATTATGCATGCAAAGATCGAACACACAGAAAAAAAATTCCATCGACGTGAATCCACGTCCATGCTGCACCGTAGCATTGCTCTAAGCATCTGAGGCACGGGTCCAGTTACCAAGGCGTCGAAGCTTTCCTATGTGTTGTTGTTAGAGACCTTTCGTACTGACTTTCGGCATTCGTCGCCGGACGGAAATTGTTTTTATGTGCGTTCGTTGTTTGTATTCATAAACTTAACTGTATAATAATTTATGACCACTTGTTAACTCGTGTCCTTTCTATTTGCCTTGAACGCAAAAGGCCGGCCATACACGGGCAGCTTGAAGCATCTAGTATCGACTGCTTCAAGCTGCGATCACATAGCAAACTACAGTCAGTATGTACACACATACAACAAATCGCTCGAGCAGTTGCGACTGCTTCGGGCGGTTTGTAGCGCGGTGAAATTTCATCGCGCAGTCAAGCTGTCGCCAGGCATACACTGACTGCTCAAGCTGTCGACTGCTCTCGCGCAGTTACCTCCGCCTGCGCTCTTTCCATTTCACGTCACGCGCGCATTTTCGCAGCAGCAAATTCTACGCCGCCGCCGCCGTCGTCTGAATAAAGATAGCAGTAGTAGTGCTTCTTCCTCAAAATCCATGTTACTACTGATTTGAATGAAATTGCAATTGTGACTCGTTTAACAGTTATCAATGGCAGCCTTAAGCTGTTGACTATGATTGCAAGAGCACTCCGTGTATGTTGATCATTGGTCTGGTACACGGTCTGCTCGAGCAGTTAGCTGCTCGAGCAGACCGTATGTGTATGGCCACCCAGATTTTCAATTTGATTTCAGGTCAAAAACGTACCTCGGCAGTTGGAACGAATGGTCTACCAAAAATAAGTAATGTTTAATCCGTATCTATATTGTGGTATTGGGTTCTGGTGAAAGATGTTTTATGGTGCTTTTGATTGTCCAATAAACTAGTTATAATTAATATTGTTTATTATTAACGCCCTTATCAATATCAAGTAAATACATAACATTTACTATTGAAAATGTGTTACAGCACTGCTATAAAAACAAATCAACAACATATAGATAAAGAATCGACAGAAAACAACATGACCTTAGAAATAAATTACATTGAAATAAAGTAAATATAGATAATAGACAAAGTTTTGAAATACTTCATTACAAAACAATAAATACCCGATTATTTTCAAGACTATTAAGTCACTGAACAGTTTGTGTCAGTTCTACTTTATATATTTATTTGTCTCAAATTCGTATTTTGTTTTCCAATCTTTCCAGCTTCCTAAATAATTCCTAGCACTGAAAATAAAGTTGGAAATTAACCATGTATAAATTATCAAGCTATCTAATTGTCAAATATTCAAATGTGAAAAGAAATTAAATGCTGAAAGTCAAACTCGCAACCCACTAAACTGTAGACTTAACGGGGTTGTTGATAATAATATTTGAAATATTACTATTGGCTTAGAATAATAACGCATAGAATGATAGTTTCATATCAAATGAACTGTCACAAGTGAGGCAAAAATCAAATTCATGTAGGCTAGTTTTAGTAGTAGGTTAATTTTCAGTTTTAGTGAATATTTATATAAAAATACAAGTTGAAATGCGTTACTTCCTCGTGGAATGTGTTGTTAGTATCTATTTTGTGTTTACACTCATTTACCGCACATTTCGTCATTTTTAGCTAAAATTCTTGAGCTGTTCGCGGTGCAAGTTGACCTTGAGCACTGAAGGCCCGCCCGCTCGTGTAGGCCCATTGGGAGCGCTTCAATTTGCCTCACTTAGCGTGTGCGGACTAGGTTTCTATGCGTTATTATTCTAAGACTATTGGTATAAAACATAATTTTATCATATAACAAAATTATAGTTTTTCTGTTTTTGCTTCTGCCTTTGCTGCCCATTCAGTCCAGCTCCCTAAGTAGTTCTTTACGCTGAAAGGATAGTAATAAGCTCTATTATCACGTACAGTTTGTAAAACTCTTGCTGCAACTGCAAATGCTAGTAATATTAAGTTAGTTGAATATGACTACCATGACATTAATTTTTTTTTGTGAAATTACTACAATAATCATATCTATTTGTTAATACAGTCGAACACTAAGAAAAATTCCTTGGATCCGGCTAGATTCGAACCAGCGTGTTCAGCATACCGTGCAGGCACGTTCTCCCAATTGACAAACCAGACTACCCTGCTAAGCCAAAAAAATAGCGCTATCTAACTTAAAACATTTAAAAAACCACTAAGAAGTATTTTTATATCTCAATTTTCCCTTAAATTAATTTATGCATAAATCTATTAGTCAAAAATACGTATAAATAAGTTTTAACATCTTCAAAAAGATTTATTTTTGAAGGTCCGAAAATTGATTTTCTCAAAACTTACTCCGATTGAGATAGCGGTTTTTGGCTTATCAGGGCAGTATTGAGCTTACAAATTTTTGTACGTGCTTTGTTTATAGTTTTAACGAACTATTTTGCTGTAAGGCTCTATGAGAAATCTATTAAAATTTTTCTTTACTCACCAATCTTTGCAAATACTAGTGCTTATAGTGATAAATACCTATCTCCACAATGTTAAAACTATTATAGTGATGATGTGAAGAATGTATAAAATTTGGTAATGAATAAATCCAATGAGGTGTAAAAAATAACTTACTTTTTATATCCTAAGTTGTAAGCATTCTGCTGAGCCATGCCAGATCTCTTTCCAATCATACAGTAGAATATGATAATTGTATGTTCTGTAGGTTTTGGTTTGTTGTATAAATTTCTAAATTCATCCTCTGACATTGATGTTAAAGTTGATACAACATTGCCCACTGGAAGTGCACAACTAAAACTTAATTCAAATATCTTTCACTGAGCCAAATATTTGTAAGTTTTTCTATTTATATGACAAAAAACAGGAATCCACAATTATTTGCTACCCATAGCACTTTTATTTTCTTTCTTACCATCTTAAAACCACTACTAAAACTTAGTTAAAAAATATTTTATGGTGCCAAATAGTTGCAAGTGTTTTTAACAGTATTCAGCATAACAAAACCGGTTTTGCCTCTTACTGACATATGTATGTCTGTGATTTTAAGACGAATACCGCCTTTTTTATTTGGTAGCTGAACACACAGCTACGCTTTAGAGACACTGTGTGGCTTTCCACACTATAGTACCAAAATCTTTAAGGAAACCGTGTGTCTCTAACAATTGTACGTAAATGTATGACCGTTTAAGAACATCGCACTGGATGGTCGAGTAATCAACCGTTGTTCAGAGCTACCGCTTATGATAATACAACTGGCTTACATGGAATATTGATACTGTTAGGAATCTTTCCATGTTCTATAATTTCCTCAGGCTCTCTCACATCCACAATGAGTTTATTACAGTCGGCAATGGAATTCCTCACATATTCGTAGTCCACGACAATAGTTTCTGGTACCACCTGCTTGGAATACCTTCTCTGAGAGACCCAAGTAATTCGGGAAATAGACCGCGAAAAATCTATAAAAATTTATCAATACAATACAATAATAAAAATGCATAATTATTTTATTTTAGACTTTAATTATTTCTATATAAAGTAATTCATTTGATGAGAAAATTGTGCATGTAGTTACATAATAATAATGAAATACAATGCTGGAAACGCAACTTGTTGCAACATGTATTGTGTACAGAAATTGATCTTGAGTCCTGCATTAGGCCAAGCCTGCCTCGCAGACAATCAATGTTTCCTTGTTACCAATAAGTAGTTTACAATTATTGAATTGTTTTGTCTATGTGTGATTATTGTAATGAATGTGTGTGCTTATTAATTATACAATTTTTTATGTGGATGTGATATTCCAATATAAATGATTTGAATTGAATTTAACTGAATAAGAGAAAACGAAAAATGTGAACATTGGATGGACATAATATCTAACAATTCAATCATACGAAGGCCGCCTTATCCGGTCTTAATCAAGGCACCTTATGATTAGCCATTGCAAGCCATGAAAGTAATCTACTTACGGAGTGTGGAATAACTGAAGCATTGTTTTAAATTACTTCCCGCTAAAACCTTCCCAACCCGATAAGTTGTTGGAATAACTGAACGAATAACCAATCGCGGAAACATTTTGAACAGGCAATTTAATAATTTAGTCTGATTTCAATGATTTTTTTTGCACAATTATTAAACTTTGACATAAATTATAAGTAAGTACCTTTTACGATAACACAGTGACATTGACAGTGACAATCGACTATACTCAAAAACATTCAAGTAAGTACATTGTTTGAAAGAAATCGATATTTTCATACGGGCTATCGATTTTTTAATCGAAGCCTTTTCGTAAGAGCGTTTTAGAGATAGGCAATGAGAAAGAGTCTAAACATGAATGTTTTAATACAATAATAATATTACAAATATAAGTAATATTACAAACTTATTTATGATATTTATGTACCTAATTAACTAAATGATTTCGTATACATATAAAGATTAGCTAAAAGATTTTAAATCCTACGCAAACTACACAGAAATGCTATGTATTCTTAATATCCATTCGGTCCAGCTTCCAATGTAGTTCTTCACGCTGGAAAGATCAAAACAATTTAATTAGTTTAAAACTAGAACTAAAATTACATATAAGTACTCCTCCAAAGACTGAGTCGAGATTGTATTAATTAAAGACATGTTGCGGCATGTTAGCGATCGAATTACAGAATGGCGGTGCAAGTGTTGTCAATTTAAATTTAATTATTGACGAAAAATTGCCTAATTATTTTCTTACTTTGTATAACCCAAATCAACTGCTTGATTTGATGCAATAGTGGACCTCTTGCCAAGTTTGCAGTAGATTATGAATTCCGAGTCTTTTTTGGGTTTCGGTCTCAAGTATCTCTCTTGAAACTCTTCTTCAGACATCATCGGGCCTAGGTCCTCTGCAAATCTGCCGACTGAAATCGTATAATGACTTTATCCCAAGAAATTTAAATTATACTACTCTTAATTTTAGAATCACTGAATAATTAATTTCTGAAAGTTAAGGACAAGATACTTACTTGGAATATTAATACTATTAGGTATTATTCCATTTTTTGTTTCACACGGCTCCCTGACGTCAATTATTAAGATTTTCCCATTGTCAGAGGCCTTCTTTACGTATTCGAAGTTCACACGTTCGAACCCAGTCTTTGGTTTCGCATCTAAAAGCATAAAACGCAAAATATGATATGGATAATAGTTAATGTTAATAGGCCTATCTCTGCTCTTAGTGCTATCCCTAATAAAGGGCTCATATATTATATAACATTATTTTAATTTTAAGACATGTTCAGGGTCAAGAGCACGTCAAGCTTTACACTTAAGACTTAAATCCAATTCTATGCCTCTTACGATAAGAACGGTCCAAAGCACAAAGTGTCAAGCTTGATGTGCTCTTGACTATACCATATGAATGCAATAAATATATTAAGTATTGAGTAATGCAAAGATAAAAATAAGCGTTTAATAGAACGAACGTGATTAAAACATTTAGCTATAGAGCAACTGAGTAGTGTAGATAACCAATTACTTTAAGGTACATTCAAAGTTTTCTAAACAATAGTATATAAAATTATAAACCACAATAATATATCATGCTTCATGTTTTTTTAATTGCTTTCCTTTTTATTCGAAATAATTAGGTGTGTACTCCAGTAATTTAATAATAATAATAACGCACACACTCATAACCACGGGAAACCCTGTATCGCGGGTGCAATGGAACACACACATAGACAACTACAAATTACACCCAAACTCACGAGAGAAATAAATGTAGAGCTTACAAATATTTCTCCCGGCCCGGGAATCGAACCCAGGGCCTCACCGTGACAGTCCAGCATGGTAACCGTTCGGCCACGGAGGCAGTTAACTTTAGATAGGTACATTATTATTAGGGGAACAGTTATTTTTTTCAATGTAACATAGGTACTTCTACCTTGAATAATTTAATTTTGAATGTAGCTTAAAGTGTTAACACAGAGGTAATTACGTTGAAGTTATTATTTTGTTTTGTTGTTTATTTTTCTGTAACGGAGTTCTCTAAATTCCAGTTAAGATTGTAAAGAACAACCAATCTAAAGATAACAAATGCAAACTTGTCGAAATCACAAAACGCCTAATATTACAAACGTGTCTATACCCTAAAGGTCAAAAGTGTTGGAATGAGGAAGCCATCGTATGCTAATAACTTTTAACATTTACGCTAACTAACGCAATGTTAAGCTGTTATCTACATATATTATAAAATGAAGTAGGATTGAGTTTATAACAAAGAAGGAGACTAACATCTTAATGAGGTTTTTAATATAAAAATATAATTATGAACGATGTAAAAAAGGTTCAAGTCGAGTCAAAGTCAAATAATCATTTCTTCCGTAGGTAGAATTTTACACTTGAAAACGTCATTTTTAAGCTACTGCTCGTTCACTACGCTGACCTCCCTGAGAAGAACAAGTAAGAAACTCTAGGGATTGCTTTTTCAAATAAACTTAAATGCAATGGAATACACTTTAAATCATAATTGTGTGGAATGTACACTCTTGTTGTCTTTCCATGCTTCTTTATCTAAAACATGCTCTTCAATTTTGTAATATGACTTTTTAGTTAAAATACTTTTAAACTTAGGAAATGATAATCTTAATATATTCTCCGTAATATTATTGTAAACATGTATATAGTTCCTCATAAAAGAATCGTTTACATTAGTGAAACGAAAACGTGGTACCATGAGTTTGGACTTAGTTCTAAGGTTAATATTATGGATATCTTCTTTCTTAAAGAAACTATGCATGTTTTACGGGCATAGAAAATATTTGAGTAAATGTACTGAGATGCCACAGTCATGATACCAGTCTCCTTAAACTTTTCTCTGAAAGAAACCCGAGAACTTATACGATACACAGAACGATTCGCTCGTTTTAGCAACACAAATATGGTTTGTATATCTGCCGCTTTACCCTACATGAGAATGTACTATGGAAGTAACTAAAGTAAACTAGTGTAGCAGTAGCAATATCGGCAAGCTCACGAATTCTACGGACTGCGTATGCAGGAGAGCTTAATCTGCTGGCTAAGAAAGATATATGTGGAAACCATTGGAGTTTACTGTCTAAGGTCACTCCCAAAAAGACAGCTTTATTAACATGTCTAACTTTTCTCCATTTATTTCTATGATTGGACTAGTCGATTTTACATTAGGTAATTCCAATTTAACACACTTTGCATTCTTATCTTCATTATTCTTTATCTTTTTAGCATTGACCAATAAATTGTTAACATTAAACTAATAAACTACCTTTGAAAGGGTATTGTTAATATTATCATAGTTAATGTGATGTCTGGATGTTTTAAAAATCAAGAATGTGTCGTCAGCAAACAATACTATTTCGCAAAGGTCCTTAACAAAGAATGGTAGATCATTAATGTAAATGAGAAATAAGAAAGGTCCAAGTATTGAGCCCCGCGGAACACTCATTTTTACCGGAGAACCCAAACAAGTCACTCCATTTATGTCTACTTTTTTAATTCTACCGTTAAGATATGACGAGACAAGTTCCAATACCTTGCCACTTACTCCGTAATATTACAGCTTCCTAATAAGAGTAATATGATCCACGCAATCAAATGCCTTTGAGAGGTCACAGAAAACCCCAGTAGCATTCTGGGGCTTTTCGTTATGTTTTAGTAGTGCTTCCACCGCATCGCTAGTCGATCTACCACTAGTAAGCCCATATTGTTCACTATGAAAAATATGATTCCTACCGAAATACGACAGTAGTTGAGTTAACATAACCTTTTCGAATATATTACTTAAAGCTTGTAGAATTGAAATGGGCCTATAGTTACCAGGATCAACTTTCCTACCGTTTTTGAATAAAGGAATAACCTTACTGTATTTCATCAAATCGGGAAAAATACCTTCGTCAACGCACCTATTGAATGCATCAGCTAAATGTGGAGAAATTAGATAAATTACCGAGTCTATAACTTTAGTCGATACGCCCCAGCGATCTTCAGTTTTTTTAACATGTATACATTGGAAAGCTTTAATGATGTCTTTTGAATTACATGATGAAAATTAAATGCACTGCCACAAACTTTAGCATTTTTCCTTAGGAGATCTACAGCAAGAGATGGAGAGGAATTTAATGATTTTGTAGTGTTCACGGCGATTCCCGAAAATAATGATTCAAAAGCTTGGGCTACCTCATCTTTTGATTTCATAAGTTTGCCGATTAATTCTAGAACTATACCTCTGTCATGTTGTTTAACCCTGCCTGACTCTTTATTTACTATACTCCAAGTAGTTTTAGATTTATTTTTCGACTGTATAATTTTATCGCTGTGAAACCTTAGCAGCTAAACATACTTTTTTAAATATTTTTGAATAATTTTTAACATATTCTATAAAACTGGAGTTAGTATTATAAGTTTTCATAGCATATAGCTCATACTAACGAGACCTACTCCTATGAATGCCTACTGTTGCCCAGTCATTGAATTTAGTCTCCCTGTGGAAAGTTAGTGTTTTCTTTTTTTTTATACTAATGTAATTGTAAACACGTTATCAAATTCATTTTTAAAAGTCGTTTATTTATGAGCTTTCAATAATTATATGTACGTTATTCCAGTATCAATAATTTAATTGAGTATTTAATATTGGATTAATAATATTGAATTGAGGGAATTTATGATTTTGCGACAAAATTGTGACTCTGTACGTAGTTCTAAAGACTTAAGAATTATAAAAAAATACTTTATTATTACTATGACAGATTATTCTGATTTGTACTCACATTTATTTTCTGCATCACACGCGCATGCTCTAACACAAACAATTCCTCCAAACAAAGCTATATTTATGAGAAAGAGCTTCATATTTATTTTATTAATGTAGAAAAAATGCCATATTATTTCGTAACAGTTCATTTAAGAATGCGTTAGCACTATTGTGAATTGCTCTATTTATCACAGCATAAATCATACTTGACCCTGAGTATTATCGAGGCTAATTCGTAGTTAAGTAAGTGTTCGTAGTAAATAATTTTATTCAGATGCTATGACCACTACCTAATTATATGTAGCATGAGAGTGCGCACCAAGTAATAAATTTAATACATCTACAAAAACTTGAAAAAGTAATGCGGTAGTGAATTTAAATGCTTTATAATTATTTGTATTCAATTTAAAGATTTTTTATTTTTAACTGACCTGAATATGAGCTCGATTCATTAGTCGTAATTATGACCTCGATTCATCAGTCGTAATATGATCTCGATTTATAAGTCGTAGTTAGTAGTTGATTAATAATTGATCGATCAATTATGAAATTACTCGTCCAGCACTAGGCGACTTCTCATACGCTCGTTCCATAGGTAAAAACAATGTTATACATCTTGTAGGTATGAAATAGCGAAAACTGTGTTAGACATGTTTAGCCATTGAGTATATTGTTAAACTAACATGTTCGCCAGTTAAGCGTCTATCAGTTGACAAACCCAACAAATAATAGATCATATCAAGTGTATTAAAAATTCGAAACATTTTTGTGCTATCCATTGCAATTAATTAAATAAATAATAATAATAAACTGCTGTAGTATTAAGTATGTAATGTGATTCTATCATTTATAAATGCATATTACGTTTAAAAAAATGTGTAAGGTATACCTTACGGAAATCCGTCTAAACAAAATGTTAATAGAACGTGGTTAAAGTAACAATTGGAGGATATGTTCGTTTCATTTCAAAACAGGTTTGAACAGGCTTCAGCAGTAAACTGTTGTAACATTGCATTATTGGTATTTAAGAAAAAGTTAGTATTGTCAATATTCTAAAAAATTCGGCAAGGTAAGAATATTTGTTTTAATAAAAAGTTTTATCTCTATGTATTAAAATACTTTTATAAACTTAAGTAAAAGACACAAAACTTCTGCCAAAGATTATCTTCTCAGCTAACTTCTTACTTTTAAATGCATATATTTTATTGCTTTGTTATTGTATGAATATTTTTATTGACTACGGTATCACTTAGTTTGACAGGTGACCCCGTGCATAGTGAGATTTATTGTAAATTGTGAAAATATTTTTGTAAGATATTGCGTAAATAGGCTCATAAGTAGTTGTAAGTTGAATTTCATACTAATTACTTTCATGAACTGTGAGACAAGTGTATAAATAGTTAATAAATATTGTTTTAAGTATGTTACAAGGCTGCGTAATGCATGCCATTCTTCAGAGTTTGTTCTTTTTTTATTTCTATTTCCATACGCAATTAATAAACATGAAGTAAATTATTCAGTTGCAGATGCTGTTTTATAAAATTTAGTAGGTGCTCATGGGGGTTGGAGAAAGAAGTATGGTGTCTAATTGAGTTCATATAGTTAAAATGGGTTCCATGCGGCCTACTGGACGATTCCTTCCATTCGCTAATAACATACAAAGGACACAGAAGCCAGCAGGTGAGTTACATGTTGCTTTATTGCATGAAGTAAACGAACTATTGGTAAATATATAAATATTTTTTTATAATATCAAGAGACGTGACGAACAAGTCGTGCGCCTCTTGTGGTTAGCGACACGCCATTATTTATTTATTTAACACAGTAACAGTTTCTGTGCCACTCAGAGCTGTAAATTGCAAAGATCTTAGGGGCACAGCTATTGTGCCCGTCACCCTGAGATTTAAGTTGACAAGTCCCATGTGCCTGTAATTGCACCAGTACCATTACCCTTTGAAACCAGAACACATGAATGTTCACAATACTGCTTGGCAGCAGAAATAGGTCAGGTGGCAGTAGTTTTGTGAGGTTAGGCTTCAGGTCTTGAGCATTCAAAAGCCCTGATAGCTGCCTTCAGTGCCAAACACTGCAGAGAAGCTCTGTCACTGGACAGGAATGGCATCAGAATGCTGACTAGATCCTTAACGGGGAATTGTGGCTTGAACAAGCACATTTTAACAATAGAGAATGTAGATTCTGCTAGGAGGCAGATGAAATTCCTGTGCATCTTCTCACTAAGTGCTGCCATCTAATGGGCGTAAGAAGTTCCATACTGGGTAGGCACAGGCCACACCCAGAGGACATAAAAACTGTCAGAGCCAGGAAAGTCCTTCAGTTCCTAAATGCTGTTGGTCTTGGCTCCGAACTGTAAATAGTGTTGATCATAATAAAACTTTAATGGTCGCAGTGTTGAGGGGCCTCATTGGCCCCAAATTAAGCCATCCTAATAATAATAACAATTATAAGGTGCCAGTACTTCTTTGTACGAACTGCTTCATAAGGAGCTCTAATGCTGTTAAAAATATCCAACAATTTTAGTACCAAAGCTGTGGTCATCAAACACACTTACAAAATTAACATACTAAGATACATAATAGTCCTAATTGTACACAATTGTCAAACGAAACCACAATTACAAATTGTTGTAGGAAATTTAAAATCCTCTTATGTGTCATTTTGGTCAACAAAAAGTTTTGTAAATATTTGAATAGCATATTCAAAGAATAACCGATTGAAAAAAGTCTCATGTGATATCTTCTTATTTTAACTAAATTTGCAACGATGAAGTGCTCCATGGTTCACTAAAATACACGAGGTCCACAAATATCTTAAAATGCCTACAATTATTGAGGAATAAGTAGGTTAACTAAGTCCTATAAAGAAAGAATAGCCACACATACTAATAAACTAGCTAGCGCATTGAGTGTACCACGATGGACGAGAAGATTGACGTGTAAACACATTTGGGATTCAACTAACTGAGCTGAATAGTTTTCCACATAAAGACAACCCAACTTTGGAAGGGTATCCTGACATGTCAAAATATATCAAAAAATGAACAAAAGATGTTGGCAAAAAGAAGAAAAAACCAGCATTAATTATGTTATGGTGAGTTGGATCCGTTTCAGCTTATAGGTACATGTAATCAGTAATTTGTTTTGTCTGTTCTATTTTGTTTGAATTTTCTTAAGCTGAATAAACATTTCATTCTTTCTTTCGAAATACCATTTCTTGCTTTTGAACTTAAATTATGTACTTTTCTTATGCATGTTACAGGTGTCATGTTTAAAAGTAAGGAAATCACTTAGTGTTATGTTTCTTTCAAACATGGAACATATGACAAACATAAATAAAGGATATATTTAAATGAAAAAGGCGGACAATGGTATTTTGACTTAATACAACTTACTTGGAAGGTGTCATGTAATATATCTATATTATATTGTCTAAAAAGCTATAGTAGCAGTAGGGCTCCTTGTAAAAGAGTTCGTCCAGGGAAGTACTTACCTATTTCTGCCACCAAGCGGTAAGCATTTCAGTTTCGGTTTTGAAGTGAACAGGTACTGGTGAAATTACAAACACATGGGACTTGTCAACTTATGTCCCAGGGTAACAGGCATAGTGGCAATGCTCCTCAGATCTTTGTGATTTAAAGCTTTGACTGCCATTGCAACTTTTATGGACAGACGTGTTGCTTACCACTGGGCGCATGACTCCTGTCATTAGGTTTTATAAAAATAAGTTTTTCACAAAAAACAAAAAGTTTACTAACATCAAAATGGGATCAACTGTATCTTATTGTATAAACAGCAAATATGAACTATTCGCTTTTGGAATTCTGTTACTCAACACTAGATTTCACTATATTCAATAGCTCTTATGTATATTTACTTAAAGCTAAAAATTAAAAATAATTTATTAACACTGTTTTATTGTGCCTAGTTTAGTATATGTATAGCTTAGTGTATAGTATAGTAATTGTACAAGAAAACAAATAATAATTATAGTTCATTTGTTCATAGTGACATTTGGGATTTGAAGTTTCTAGAGATGTAATGATTTTATAATCGAATGTTGTAATTTATTTTTATCTTTATTATTTAATTTTGTATCTGCTTAGTGCTTCTATTTTCTCAATGTCTCTCGGCAATCATCGGATTTCGGAATGCACACGCATATTAATTTCCATGTCTAATTATATTATTAGATTTAAAATGTATAATAATTTGAATTTTGAACAACATACTCTATTGTTGTTTTGTTTTGATATCTGTGTATCTCTATACTTTTACATATCTATGTAAAACTATTTCCCTATTTTCAATAACTTTTACTCCATATCAATAAATAAGTTAACAAAAATATAAAGTGAGTTCTTTTATATAACTAAAAATGAATATTTTTTCCGGTTATTAATGAACAATACGTAATTAATAACATTATGTAATTACAAAAACATGTTTTTCAGCTTTTTCAAAATAATCATTGTTGTTTTTCTTAAATAAGTGTATATATACAATATAATATGAGCTCAAGGTAATACTGTCCTCCTTGTCCTAACTAATGCATTTCGGTAACTTTCGAAATATTGCCACCTAAAATTTTATTGTCACCTAAAAAAACGTCAATTGCGCTGTGTGATTTTGCTTAGGAATCTTATCTACCATAGCTCGAATTAAAAGTTTTCCTATACTGAAACGGTTCCCATTTCCCAAACAGAACCGACGTGATGAGCCGATGATGTGATGAACCGAAGTGTCCATACACTAATTTTATTTCAAATTTTATTTTTTTACAAATGAAATTAAAGCCATTTGAAAAATGTATATCTTATATTATTTGTGCACTATTTAGTTCATAATTGTAAATTTTCAAGGTGATTTTCTGTTTTTTTCTATCTTGAAAATTTTTAGAAATCGTGTTTTCACACTGTATACTAATCAGTGTTATCCTCAAAATATCGCTATATATTTTTTCAAAGTAATTTATTCAACACTTTCACTGTTATGCCGAATCAACCAAAGCCTGAAACTAAGTTAGTATGTATGATAAGTAGGGCAGAATATTAAGTAATTTATTGAGTGGCCGACATTCTTCTGTAATGAATCATGATTCTGAGTCAACAGTTTTGTTTATCTACCTAAATACACATTGCAATGTTGGACAGATATTGTTCAGAAATTTGGTTTGTTTATGTCACAATTTATCTTTTTTATCACATGGAATCATTGACTTACAATTATATGGACGTCGGGTCCGCGCTAAAAAGTGTCCGAACTTATAGGGCGTTCAAATCGTATACAGAGCGTCATTCACGCTTTAGTCTTCGTTTGTTCGACTGACAGCAAACCACGCAAAATTAGACAGTACTGCGATGACATTGCAATTTAAATTCAACGATTTAGCTTTTTCATATTCCTTTACATGTCACTACGTTTAAATAGGTTGACTTGGGACATTTTTTTCGTGGTTTTTGTATTAGACACGTAGTCCATTTATTTGTAAGTCAATGCATGGAATGGCTTACTTTTTTATGTTACTTTTTATGTTTATTGTGTCTAATATTTTGACTGAATCACTTGAATCCAAGGTCAACCAGCTTGATTTTGATTGCCTCTCTAAAGTTGATTTAACTCACAAATTAGAAAGATATAGTAGGTATCAGCTTCACCTTCTCACTCAGAAACCCATCTGATTTCGAGACTACCCGATCGGGTCGATTCCAATTTGAATCAAAGTCAGGGCGCTGGTGGCCTTGTGCTCAGCGTTGTCGGCACCAAGTGTTTTTGACAGGCGTGTCGCTTACCACCAGGCGCACGACTTATTCGTTCCGTCACTTGGCAACTTAAAAAAATATCCGTAGCTGGGTCTGGTTAGGGCGCGTGTCCACACTAAGAAAAGTCGTCGGGTCTATGCAACAATTCGTGTCGTTTCGGAATGTCGAGACAGCTTCGGCGCCGGACAAGAAAAAAATCTTGTCTAGCCATAAGCATTCGCATCGTGTACACACTCATCATTTTGTCGTCTGCAATAGACACGTCATGTTTTCGTGGCTAGATCCGACAAAGTTCGTATCATGTGCAAGACCATTCTCATCTTTTCTGTAGCAGACACGTCGAATTTCTTAGGCCTTAGGCTTAGGCCCCTAGTTTTATTTATCTTATTACTTATTATTAATTATGTCGCTCTTGCTGTTTTCAGTTCCAAAAGGCTTTCCTCAAAGCCTATCTGGCAGTGAAACAGACGTGTCCACATCGAATGAGAATCTATCCAGGGAGGAGCGCTATGTTGTGAGACATACAGCCAGAGTTGAGCCCCAAGGGCAGGAGAATTTGTGCCAGAGCAGTAATAACAATAATAGGAACTCTTTAAAGGTTTGTTTTGCTTTATTTTACTGTTAATTGACAGGTACTGGCCTTTGTCTAGATAATTACAGAACCTAAATTTGTAAAATTATTGTGATTGTTCATAAGATAATTTATGGACACAGGTATGTCAATATTTGGCAACCTTGGTGACTCAGCGGTTTGCACTTGATGTGGAGGTCCCGGGTTCGATTCCCGGTAAGATCAATTTGGGAAATGAACTTTCCTAAATTGGTTCTGATCTGGGTGTTCTGGGAAGTGCTTCAGAATGAATTCCGTTGCTTTGGTACTTATAGTACAGAGAATATCCTCGTTTGGAACCAGGCAATTGATGTGTTGTAATGAAAAATTGAAGAATCAAAAGAATAAAAAATTGGCTCAGATTGCAATTGGTTTCCCAAGTTTATGTACAAAGATCACGTCAAGCTTTACACTTTGTACCTTGGACCGTTCTTATCGTAAGCTATATAGAGTTGCATGTAAGTTTTTAAGTGTCAAGCTTGATGTGCTCTTGACCCTATACTGTTGAGTTGATATCAATAATGTATTCCTGTGGAAGTTTTTACTATTTTTATTTATAGCCTTTATTGCTGATTAACAAGAATGAACTTACGTACGTACTAACTTATCCAATATAGAAATGTATCGTCGCCTTACTTTCTCAATCTCGTATCAAAGCACAAAGTTACTGATATGCAAAAAATGGATTGTATATACAAATTTCTGATTTCACATCACATCTCACTTCATATTCACATACTGGCTTTTACCTATTCTTAAAGTAATACATCCAAATTAACACCCTAGTACTATGTACTGAGATTATAATTTTAAAAGATTGAATGGATTTCAAGTTGCGAAGGGGAGGAGGAATATTATTTATCTCATCATATGTTCTGTCCAATTAAAAACCAACACTCAGCAGTGACCTGTTTGACTTGCTTCCACAGTGAGTTTCTACGATACGACGTCATGCCGTGAATTTTTACGTTCCTCGACGTAGATTTCCACGATGCGACGTCGTATCGTGTTTATGTGTAAGAGCCCTTATTGATATGAGTTGTTTATTATGTATATTTGTTTAAGTTCCTTCCTTTTTGTTACGTATTTAGTTTGTTTTGTATGTTTTTTTCCTTGATTATTAATTCATATGGTTGTGTGTGCTTTTGGAAAGTCAATAAACGTGTTCTATCTATACTGTTTCTAAATGTTTTTTAGGAGAGTGTCCCAGGCAGCAATCGTAACTCTCTCAAAGACTCTGTTAGTGGTGGTAACAGCAACCGCAGCTCGCTTGATGTATCGTCCTCGTCGTACAACACGCTCATTATACACAACCAGGATGATTCGTGGCCGCCGCGACCGACGCCTATTCGGTAAGAAAGTTTAAACGTTTAATTGGAAAGGGCCCAGGAAATACATGAGTATCTTGATATCCCAATTGGATGCTGATAAGCAATAACATATCAACCAATATGATCATAGTTTTTACTCTAAAATTGAACTTCGACACACGCTACTCCGACACACGCTACTCCGACACACGCAACTCCGACAATATGTTACATCGACATGATTTTACTCAGACATTACGCTACTTCGACAACACAGACGAGATGTTTCTTAAAAAAAGCTTTGCATTTAGATAAGAAAAATCATCGTTACAAACCCACGTAGGAAATGGTTTCTTATATCGATCTATATAACAAAAAAAGGACAACATTATATAATCGGTAATTTATTCTATTAAAATACAGTGTTTTTTTAAATGGGACAGTATGGGGAAATCCGAAACCATAGACATACCAGAAGATACAAGGAAACTATATTAGGAACCATAACACCGTCTTTTTTTATGAAAACAATTTAAACCTACCCTCAAAATTTAAAAGTGCTGCGTGGATTATCGGCAATAATGTCGACATGACTTTACTCAGTCATGTCGATGTAACATATTGTCGGAGTAACGTGTGTCGAAGTTCAATTTTAGACTCCATTGTTTTGCGAAAATGGAACCTAACGATTCTTTAGTTGTATTTCTTCTTTATAATGTTATAACTTCATCGATACCATCGATGATTCCGCCAATGTCAAGTAAAGGAACACACGCGTTTTTACTCTCATAATTTTCCGAATGAATTTCAATAGAATTCACTGAGAGGAGAATCTACAACAACGGAGAACACACACAGACTATTACAGAAACAAATTGTTATTTTTAATAAAGTTACACAGGACATACACAAAGGGAGAGTGGACTAACGTTAGGAGGCAGTTTATTAAAGGGGTTTGTTCTACAATTTACTTATATATTAAAACATTTGTTGTTGTTGGGGCATTATAGTACAGCAAAAATTTTCAAGTTACAAGTAAGTTTTAGAACAAACTATCAAAAACAACGAAAAACGGTTACCTATGAGTAGTCCGAAATTACATTTTCCAGAAATAACGTTTGCTCGAATTTTCATTACTTCGAAAGTAATTTTGAGAGGAAAATATTTTTCTTTTAAACCCAACTTAACTTAACTTAACCGAACCTAATCGTGTCTTTGATATAAACATCCAACATATCCTGAAAGAACAACGGTTTCGTTATAATTCGGTTTTCGGTGTAATGAAAATTCGAACAAACGTTATTCCGGAAAAAAAATCGAGTTTGTTTGTTTGTTGAGTTGATAGGTTACCACGAAAAACATCTTTAGGTGCCATTTTCGAAAAACTATCATCGTAATATGTTATTGTTTATCAGCATCTAATTACCTGTAAATACTGACACTTAAGCAAAAATATATTGTGGCGATAACTTTACGTCTGAGAAGATTCGTGGACTTCTTAGATTCCGTAGATTTCGTGGAAATCTTCGAAGACAAAATTGGGCCTTACTGGTAGACTCTGACTTTGAGACCCGTTGATTAAAGATATCGAAATAATAGATCTCATGCTGTTTGTGAGGCACTAACAAAAATATTGATTTAGCTTGTCTAAACAATAAGTTTTGAATCTTCAAATGGGAGAGGCAGTTTTAGGCGACAAGGGTCAGAACCGGCGAACGATATTACTATAATTCCGGTTCAAGAACCGGCGAACGATATTACTATAATAAGAAGTAGGTTGTCTTCAGTCAGGGCTTGCGTCGCCTTTCATCACAGAAGCCAGTAATTAATATCTTGTGATCACCACCAGTTATAACTTGGAGTGTGTGGAAAATAATTGAATATCAATTCCATAAAAATTTAAAAGTACAGTGAATAACGACATCTCTCGCCAAGGCTGGTAGCTGTAAAGGTATCTGGGTGATAAAACTTTCATAGATTTCTCATAGATGGCGCTATGACTAAAAAGTCGTTGAAAAACCAAATACAGAGACACGACAACAAGCAAATAGAAAAATTCGTGAGGTCCGCTTGGTTCGTTCCGTGGCTTAGATGATATAGCGTCTGACACGGTATGCTAGAAGACGTCGGTTCGAATCCGGCCGGATCGAAGGAATTTTTCCTGAGTGTGCGATCTTTGTATTAATAATTATAACAAACTAGTGGAGTAATTTCACAAAAAATAATTGAATGTCAATTCAAAAAAAATTAAAAATATAGTTACGGATTTGTGGTTTGAAAGTTCGGAGACTGTATAATAAATTTTATTAGTTAACAAGTTGTTTAATAGCTTTTTAAGTAGCGTAAGGTTTTTCTTAGAGCTTAGGTTAGGTTAATGTAAAGGGTAGCATTGACTTAGAAGGTGCAAAGGACAACTCTGATCCGCTTCAAATCTGCTCTTTCTTAGTCAAAGTGAATTAATCATTTATTCCATAGGTAAAATTTTTACACTTGAAAACGTCGTTTTTTAAGCTACTGCTCGTTCACTACGCTGACCGAGAAGAACGAGCAAGAAACTATAGGGAATGCTCTTTTCAAATAAACTTAAATGCTATGGAATACACTTTGAATCATAATTGTGTGGAATCTAGACTCTTGTTGTCTTTCCATACTTTTTTATCTGAAAAATACTCTTCAATTTTGTAATATGACTTTTCAATGAAAATACTTTTAATGTAAGTTTTGAAACATAGGAAATCTTTTTAATATTCTTCGGAATGTTATTGTAAAATCCTATATAGTTCACCATAGTTCAAACTTAGTTAGCTTGAAATTTTTAATAAATAATATTTTTAAATATTCGTACAAATTGCAGAGAACACGAACGAACAAGCAGTGAAGTAAAGCATCCAACCACTCAGTCATCCCCATATCATACTTTGAAGAAAGAGTGCAAGAAACCTAGTGGTATACCATTACCGAAGATGCTGAAGGAGCAAACTGTCACAACCACTGCGAACTATATTGACATTGGGGGACAGAGGATTTATACTAGCCCACCTGATCATGGAGTTCAGGTAAAGTGTCTATACTATTAAGTGACGGGACGAACAAGTCGTGTGCCTGGTGGTAAGCGACATGCCTGTCCCTAACAGTTGCAGTGCCACTCGGAGTTTTAAATCGCAAAGATCTGAGGGGCACTGCCACTGCGCCCGTCACCCTGAGACATAAGTTGACAAGTCCCATGTGCCTGTAATTTCACCGGCACCCTTACCCTTCTAAACCGGAACAGGGTAATGCTGACATTACTGCTTGGCGGCAGAAGTAGGTAAGCTCTACTGCTACTAAATTTATATGTTCAATAAGAGTCGTTTTAGTAGAGCTACTTGTGAAAGGGTTCGTCCAGGGAAGTACTGCCACCAGTGCCACCTTGCAGTAACCTGAGCATTACTGTGTTCCAGTTTTGAAGGGTGCGGGTGAAATTACGTGAGATTTGTCAACTTATGCTTCAGGGCGATTTAAAGCTCTTAGTGGCACTACGCCTGCTGACAGGCGTGTCGCTTAACACCAGGCGCGCGATTTGTTTGTCCTGCCACTTGGTGCCATAGAAAAGAGAGATAGGAGGTTGTGACGTTATTAAAGTTGGCAGATATTAGTCTTCGTGTTTGGTGAGATTTGGCCATTGTTTAACTAAAATTATAGACGGTCATACAGTAGAACTCGGAATAGAGAGCACAGACAAAACCGTACCGTAGATAATGTAGAATAATATTTAAGTTAGAACATACTTAGACACAACTATGAAAACGAAAATTTTCTTCCCCTTTATGTTCACTATAAGACTCAATTTACACGACCGGAATATCCGGATGAATGAAAGCGAACTTTTGACAATTCAGTCTCGGGATCATAAGAAATAAATAATTATATTCTATTCACATCATTATACAAAAAATATGGCAACATTGTTTTGCCAACTGACTTTAGGAGCTGTCTATTCGCTATCTTTAATAAAAATTCCGAATATTGTAAGTACGCGACTTGAACTTTTTTCAATTCATGTTAACAATGAGATAATAATAATATAATAATAATAATAACGCACACACTCAATATAGCCCCGCACTAGGGAAACCCTGTGTCGCGGGTGCCATGGACACACACGTAGACAACCACAAATTACACCCAAACTCACGAGAGAAATAAATGTAGGCCATACAAATATTTCTCCCGGCCCGGGAATCGAACCCGGGGACCTCTGCGTGGCAGTCCGGTATGGTAACCGTTCGGCCACGGAGGCAGTTATTATTTATTATTTATTATATATTATGTTATATTATAATGACACTTGTTCGCCAACAGGAGATAACCGAAATTCCGGACGACTTCCTGAACCAGTCGTCCGTGCTGAAGCATCTCGCGGCTGAAGTGGCCTTGTCCCCCCCTCCGCCGCGCACCACCACCCCGCCGGCACCACGGGCACCATCTGCCGGCCGCAGCGACGCCCGCAAGCCTAAGGGTAAGGCCAAGGCAAAGATGAGCAAGGAGAAGCTCAATCTGTCCAGGTCGCAGCCGGATTTGACGAGGTAATTCATATTCTTAAGTGTGTATTATTATTACGAAAACATTGATTGTAGCCGCCAGACCCAAGTAGAAGAAGATGAGGATCCCGACGAGCTCGTAAAATTAAAAGACGATTTAAGTTGACTGTAATATATTGGCAATAGGTTGCTGGTTTACGGGAGTAGTGCCATTAATAGGGGTGAAATAACATGTATGTGGTGGTAGTTGATTGGTTCAAAAGAGGCGACGACGTAATGTGCCCTTGACGAGCGTTTAGTTAATGCTTTGAAAGTTATATTGAATATTACTACAAAATTCAGTTGCGTTCGCAACATTGATAAATAAATAAATAATAAATAACGCACACACTCAACATAGCCCCGCACTAGGGAAACCCTGTGTCGCGGGTGCCATGGACACACACATAGACGACCACAAATTACACCCAAACTCACGAGAGAAATAATTGTAGGCCATACAACTATTTCTCTCGGCCCGGGAATCGAACCTGGGACCTCTGCGTGGCAGTCCGGCATGGTAACCGTTCGGCCACAGAGGCAGTTAAAATTGATACTTGTTGATGAAGCCACGTGTGCTAGGATAGTATTATCTCAAAAATTGCGTCATATATTATATTTAGATACCTCCAGTGAACATTATTACGCCAACATAAATTTTTGGTCATTTTCTGTTTTTATTGTAAACAGTCTTATTCTATTTACTAATATACTTAGTGTTTATGTAGTTTTAATAATCTTATGTTTTTGGTATTTTCTTTTTTATTCATAATTTTTGTTTTGTTCTAATTATTGTCCCCTGTATTTACGCCTGTAGGAAGGAATTTCTGTTCGACATAAGCAGTACCTTTTGTTTATGTTTCCCTTCTTACTAAATTTGTTTTTGTTTGATGGTGCAGTGTGGGCGTGCGCGCGGTTCCCGGCGGGTCAGAGTCCAGCGGGTGGTGCAGTGGTGGAGAGGGGTCAGTGGAGGAAGCTGACGACGCCTTCGCTGCCGTTCTGGACGCGCTGGCTGCGGAGAACCACCAGCTCAAGAGACAATTGGCCGATGCCTGTGAACGGGTCGCGAAGACTACCAAGGTGAGACTTGATTATGTTAGCACTAGCTATTTATTCATACTTTTTAACCGACTTTAAAAAAGAAGGAGGTTCTAAATTCGAGTGTATTTTTTGAAAATTTTTATGTGTATGTTATGCGGTTACTCTTTTTGGGAACCGATTTTGATGGTTCTTTTTTTGTATGAAAGAGGTACCCCTCAGTATTGGTTCCATTTATTTGAAGAAAATATTCCACCTGGTTACCTATCACAAGCTAGAAACATGATTTACAGAATTTTGTTTCTCCGAAAACCTTTAGATTTTTATTGAATAGATTTTGTTTCATTTATCCGAAAACACGTTACAGTTTTTTTCATTACACCATTTAATGTTTCACTATTGACATATTGACAAGTTATTCTTTTCCCGATTTTTATTTCCACAATAAACCGTTTGAGCACCAATGTATCTAATTGAATATTTTTATTTTGTAAAAAAACGGTATCCATGATACATTTTTGTTATATTATTTCTTATTACAGATATTAAAAGTATTAGAACGTGTCGCACAATACAACTCGTCAAATTAAAGCACTTCGCATCTTTAGAAAATAATAATATGGTAAACGAGATACCAGTTGCGGCTTTTTCATATACTAACCTAACCTAAACCCACAAGAGGGGGTCGTACCGTCTAGGTAATGCACACAAATTCGGTTCTTGCACTCGCCGGCCGCTTCCGCGGCATGCTCGCTTCGCTCGCACGGCTCGTGCGGCCTTTTCATATATTAACCTAACCTAAACCCACACCATTGTTTTTAAATTACATTTGAGATGACAGCAAAAACATAACACAATGGTATGACGAAAATTACGTAAGTGTACTTGCTGTATGGTGCACAGCAAGTCCACTTACGTAATATTACAAAGTATGGTCCAGAATTTTGAGCTGTACGATAAAATTGTATGGCGGTACAATTTTATCTAAGAATAATAATATTGTCGAAACGAATTCAGCAATCTAAATTATATGGAAAACGGACAGTATAACAAACATGATTAGACTAAAAAAAATTCTGCCCAAAGAATACGTATGTGTAATAATGATTCTTATTTGGTTTTCGGACAAACGACATTTCTGTGTTGCAAATTTATACCAAAACTGTCATCGCACTAATGAAAAAAAGTCGAACCGTTTTCGGAGTAATGAAATTCGGAAAAAAGACATTCGAGTTTGTGATAGGTGACCATTCCACCTCTGAGAATGGCAAACTAGGAGATGAACCCAGTTTCGCGCACTTTCCGGTAACCGATTTCAATAAAACTTGGCAAATAGATGTAACATTTATTTATCTCGTGAGTTTTGGTGTAATTTGTGGTTGTCTATGTATGTGTCCATGGCACAGGGTTTCACTAGTTTATGTTAGGTGTGTGCGTTATTATAATATAAAAAAAAATCCACGGTCGGTTTTTTTTATAATTTAATTCTAGATTCATTTGTACACAATATTTACCAATTTATAGAATAATTACTTTAAATAGATTTCTAATAATGAAATAGCAACACTTGCGGCAGTGATGGCGTTAGCATTCGAGTATTCGAATAGAGGAGCGGTATAAGCGACGACTCGTCATACAAGAGAGAATATATATCTAATTTTGGTTTATGTGAGTATAATTAGCGTAATATGGGCCATTCGACTCTGCATATGATTGAAGAATGAATAATAATTTTATTTCTCGTCTCTACCATAGCATTACAATATCTTCTCTACAGTAGTGCAACGCCTTTGATGTTCGGCGATAAAGTCGCCCCTGTAGGCGCCTACACTGTCATATGCAAGGGTTAACAAAATGGAAAAATAAACTATACAGTGTGTGTTTTTAACTGTAAAAGCGTGGGGAATCTCGAAACCATAGGTGATACAGGGAACCTGTCTTAGGAACCATTAAGTCTTTTTTGTGAAAACGTTATTGGCATAGTAAATGTTTTAGTCAAATGTGAGTTGTCCATAAAATTGATTAATTTTTTTAGTGCTAATCGACTCAGTGTCATGTAAGGATCACTTCGTTGTATTGGAAGAAAAAACCGGGACAACAGAAGTTGGTCAAATTGAGTATAATGTTATTAATTTTGTATGGAAAAAAAATCTTTTTGATAAATTTAACCAGCTTTTGCGGCTATAACTAACTAACTAGCAACTGCGTTGGCTATAAATGTAGTTATCTCCAATTTACACAGAGTACAGCAACAGTTACTGGACTTAATAACAGAAGTAACTAATGGTTATATACCTATTTATTCCGAGAGAGTTTTTTTTATATAATGTTAAGTGGCGGGACAAACAAGTCGTGATCCTGGTTTTTTTAAATAATACCAAGTGACAAGATGAACAAGTCGTGCGCCTGGTGGTAATCGACACGATTGTCCATAATAGTTGTAGTGCCACTCAGAGCTTTAAATCGCAAAGATTTGAGGAACATTGCCACTGCGCCCGTCGCATGTGCCATGTGTGAAATTACCACCAGCACAATAGATACCAGCACCATAAACAATAGAAACATATCAAATTGCCGTATCGCGTTACCGTAGTGCCGGCACGAGTGCATGGATCCAGTTGCACAGCCGTGGCGCGTGGCTATACTCATGTTGCGAAGAATGCAGCGCGCGCATTTTTTGCCCAGCTGGAACACTGACCTAGATATTGCATTACACAGGTGTCATAACATTATCAGAAGGATGCATATTGAAAGAAAACATCGTAATTAGCCATTCACAAAATAACTTTCAAAGTGAAATGAAAAGAAATAGATATCAAGCAATGCAGCTACCGCAAGAATCTGAAGTTAACCAAATCATTGATGGATTGGACACTTTTTCTTGACAATCATGAGGAACTATTGAAGAACTTGAAAAGGAAAATTGACTTCGTCAAGGTCCAGCAGTAAGCAGTAAATACCCAAATCGACGGTCACGATACACGACATTATATTACTTATATTATTTTGGCAACAATTATCGTGACACTGTTATGTGTTTGGGGCGTAAGAACACCTCCCATACCTTTTCCACATAAGTTTTTGATTATAGTGACCCTCCCTATCAACCTCTTTGTTATGTGGGAAAATTTATAAGTTCCGGTTCTGACCCCAGATCAGCCAGTGTACAGAGTTGTCACAGGCCTCTGTCACTTGACTTCATCCAGTTCTCGAGAGGCTAGTGCCTCGGGTGAGCCACTCGGGGTGCACGTACAGTACCCTATTTTCCAGATAGGTACCGGAGCTGTAGGCACGTTCACTTCCCGTTGCTCATTGCACAACTAGCGGTTGCCACCGTCAAGTCATCGACTCTAAGTCCACTACCAAATCTCCTCATTGATTGGTGGCGGAACTGTAAGACACGCTCACTTCCCAACGCGGAAAAACCGCGTCTCTCCAGTTCCCAATAACCTAAGCGGCTGGAGGGACCGGAGAATATCTAGCTTATCCTCTGGGCGTAAGAATAATAAAGAAACGCCGTCTTGCGTGTGAGGTGGAGATGCCAAGATCAGCTCTTTGAACTGGACCTGAGCCAGGTCCTCGATGGCTAAACCGTTGTCTGTCATTACCACGTGACAGGATAGATATTGAAGTGGACATCAATAGATCATCGGATTCGGCACCAGCTGTAATTTTCCATAAACGTGTACAAGGCGACGTCAATCTTACTTTCTTACGTCCTCAAATTTTACTTTATTTTTATCTTATTTTTTGACATGTTTTAGATATTTACCTTTTTGTATCTTAAGTCGGGAGCATGTACGAGCAATATATTAGATAGATATGTCATAGTGTAATCATTGTTGCGCTTACATTTTACGTACAATTGTATGTATGTATTTTTAGTACAATAAAGACTTTCGGACAGTGCGGTGCCTTACATATTTTACAACAACCTACCTCAACTGAACAGTGTACCATGGGAAACATACACATCCCATCAAACATACATTACTACGAACATTCTTCATTTACATACTTGGGTATGAGCCCCAATACAAAGTAAGTAACAAAAGCATTTGTGTTATGGAAATCGGAAACAATCACGGTATCACAAACACCCACACTGTTAGTTTTCTACATTGACCCGGCTGGGGATCGCGCGACCTCAGAGATGGCGGCACCATGAAAACCCGTATGCAAACTATTCGATCACGAAGATCGTCATTCTTTTTGAGAGTCTTTAATTGCAGTATTACTTACTTTTAAAAATAAAATAATGTGTCCTTGAAACTAAATACCCTATCTGTAATATTTGTAGTACTTGCCCTTTGTGTTGCATAGACGTATACAGCACGTTGCGCATACAGGATTTATATGGGTAGTTTATTGACCAGTGATCGGAATAAAGGTAGTTAATTCAGCAAAACTAAAGAATAATATGGACATTTCCTTCTACAAATCCCGGGAATTCTCTGAACTGATTACATTTCAACATGCGTATTATTTATTCAAATTTGAGTACTTAGGCGACAATTTATTACTCCTATTAAGTATGTAATACAAATTATTGTCACAAAAATAATATTGTACTTTTTTATTTTTATATTTATAGGTATACATGTACAATTGTTGTAAATTGATCTTAAAAAATATCACAGTGACAGTAGGTACATGAACCTCGTTAGGGCATTAAATTTAGTTGAATTAAGAGCCAATTATTATTACAGAAGTTGTTTTTGTATAGGTGCTTACGTTAATTTATATACGTAAATACTTCAGTCATTTAACAAATAAATATGAGATAACCAATATTTTGGAATGTTTAGAAAATAAACCGTAAAAAAAAAGAAATTTTATGCGCATTGATAACGACATGGGTATGTCCATACTAAGAAAACGTTCATAGTTTCACTCGATTTCGATCACCGCTATTCAACGTCAAGACCGTGGCTATGTTTGCTGACTTTTAAACCGCAAATGTGTTCCTATTGCCCCCAGCTGGAAGAAGAAGTAGAGAAAGTCCAAACAGCCCACGAGGAGCTAGTTGGTTCCTGCGAGCGAAGAGAGAGGCTAGAGAGAGCGGCGCGTGTGAGGCTGCAGGCCGACTGCCGGAGGCTGCACGAGCTCAACCGCGCCTTGAAACAACAGGTAATTCTAAAAATTACATTTAGGCTCAATTTGCATCGCTTGAATGGAATCGAATATAATAATAACGGACTGTGCTCCACCTAATTGAAAACAAGAAGCAAAATAAAATTGTTAATTATTTTTTACTTTTTCGATTATACATTCTCGTTCATTCTTTACTTCCTATTTCCTCACATAGTTTGAGAAAAGCACTATATATTCCTCAGCGGCAACGGGGATTGTCTGACTCGTATAATACACACACAGCACAGCACAGGCCTTGTAATTGTATTCGTCCGGCAATTCTTTATTTCTCGTCCTCTGCAATAATATACTGAAAGTCATGCTCAACGGATCACAGACTCCACATTATAACTGTGTATTGTTAACTCATTATAACGCAGGTAGAGCTGTTGTCGGCCGGCGTTCGCGCAGAGGGCGACAGCAGCGCCGACGTGCTACGCAAGGAACTGCAGGGCAGGGAGATGCTCATCGCGCAGCTCATCACCCAGAGTCAGTCCCGTTTAACTACTTTTACATTATAGAACGTTTCCTATAAAGTAATTTTATTTTTATTTATTTTACTTTGTTATGATTAGTAATAGAAAGATCGAACACAGAAAAATTTCTGCGACCAGGTGGGATTTGAACTTAGACCGTAGCATTGTTCTTACCAACTGATCCACAGGTCAAGTTATCGAGTTGTCGCAATTCTCTTATGTGTTTTTTGTTATGGATGTCTTTGTACTGGCTTTCATGTTCAAGTCACTTTCATTTTTCTACTGAATTATACTACCTACTAGGGCTGGCAGGATGCTCCCACCTATGCTGATTGTGGACTCGGCCAAGCTGGGATGCGTCTTGGCCATCCGATAAACCTCCGATTGAAATTCCATTGTTGGTTTTTGACCTCACTATCGTTATTCTTCATGATTTATTTTCAATGCCACTTAAATAAATTAAAATTTTATTATAAACACTTTAGTTGTCGACAGTAGTAAGTTCAAATAAAGTTGAAAGTACTGAGTATTACAAAATTGAAACCATGACTCTAGATTCAACACAAATTTGATTCAAAGTCTAATTTATAGCATGTAAGTTGTTTAAAAAGAGCAATCCCTAGAGTTTTTTGGTCGTTATTCCCAGGGAAGTCAGCGTAGTACGCTACGTGCAGTGACTTAAATGTGATGTTTTGAAGTGTAAATTTGTTTTACCTATGGAATAATTGATTCTTTGACTTTGAGACGGAATAGGTATTATTTTATTAGCGGCGCTTCGGTTTCGGGTGTATATTGAAAACAGCATTTTCAGTAAGTTTTTCAGATTTTAGTGTCGCAACGTGAACATGTTTGAAAATCATTGTTATAGATAAAGAACTAGCGTGCGCGAAAGAACGACAAGAGATTGAGATGGCTGCGCAACGAGCTACGCTCCAAGAGCAACGTACTCATATTGACATCCTTGACACTGCGCTTACTAATGCTCAGACCAACGTCGTGAGGCTTGAAGAGGAGGTGAGAAAACACAGGCTATCTTTTTCATTCCCAATCAATTTGTTAGTTTTCTTGTATGTAAGGCTAGAATGGCTGATTGTTTATTATTAAACTTCTCTGTGAAAAGCGTAGTGGAATATTTTTGCGGTTTCTGATAATTGTAGTGCTATTATCTCAGTTGGTCACATAGAGATTTTTAATCTTTACCACAAACAGGATTTTAAATACTTTGTAAAAATAGCCTTTTCTCATGTTGACGTACCATTTTTTCTTTCAAAATTCATGGACAGATTTCTAAGACCGTTTTCCTTAAGCTGTAACATTTAAGCTCATAATCCGTTTTAATCCATTTTGTAAAAAAGGTAATCAAACAGATCATTGACCCGAGTATGTATAGTTTGTTTATATAGTTGTTTTAGTGATCAAGTCAATTAATTGGATGATTTCATTTCTTTAATTGAATCAGTTGAAACAACAGATTTTTTTGCGATTTCACTGGCTGATTACTAACAAAAAATATGTATAAATTGAGTATTATCGAAGTTAGCGTCTGTCGGGTCACCAATTTAAATACAAAAAAATATGCATAATTAATGAATTAGAATAATTAGAACTATACCTTGATGACCCGTTTCAAATTTCCACCATGTACATATATAGTTCTAATAAATAATTCATTTTATTAATGAATATTGTTTTTTAATAATGGTTTTTACTGCCCTGGGTACTTTGTCCTTTCGAGCCGGTCAATATTTTACGTCTGTTAGTGTTGCCTTCGACGGAATGGTAGACAACATTCGTTACTACTGTTTTGCCGGAGGGTATTTAATGCCCTTGTTGCCCCTGCGCAGTGCCGCCACGCGAGCGGCTACGTGGAGCGCGTGATGGGGCTGCAGCGCGCGCTGGCCTCGCTGCAGCAGGCCTCCGACCGCAGGGAGCACACCGAGAGGAAGCTCAGGGCGCAGCTGGAGAAGGAGCTGCAGACGCTCAGGTACCACAATCACCGCATCAGTCTGGTGCACTACTAGCTTTTCAAATATTATTTGTTTCGCGAATGGAAAGTAAGCCTAAAGCTTCAGCAGCCCGATTCAGAACTCTTCGGTAGTTTTCGACTCCTCCTACGTATCGTATGTCGAAATTGCCAAGTTTACATCGGAAGTTCTCCGTTTTATTCGGCAAAACTCGTTACTGATATAGAGTGATCATCTAATAGATCATCTAATCGATATCTAGGGTTTTATAATCATCCATGTGAGTAAGGAGCTTTGCCGAATAAAACTGAGAAATGCTAAAGTCACGTGTTATACTTACATATTTCAGTGAATTCAGAACTTTAAAAGGCTCCCCTGTAAACTTGGCAATTTCGACATACGATACTTTACGTAGGAAGGTTCGTTTTAACTGAATCGTTCCATTGAATATCGTTCTCGAATCGAAAGACGCTTTCCGAGCTATACAAAACGTTCGCGTTAAACGTTTGATTTGGATTCGGATACGATATCCTTATCCAACAGCTTTTGTCGGTGAAATATATTATAAGAAAAATAAAAATTATTTTATACATTCTAAAGATTTTAAAGGCCTAAAATATAGGAATGCGTTAGTGTTACATAAAATAAATTAATAAAATTGAACAAAATCCAAACGTTATTTAAAAGAATAAGAGACTTTCATATTACATCGTCTGACGTCAGCGTCTCCTAATAATACTTATCACACCGCCATGGTGATAGTGAGGCACTCAATAATATTTATTTCAAGTGCAGATTGTACGTATCGGATGCTTAGGGCCACTCGATAAGTTACCGAGAAAACCATCGCAAGTTCGGTAACTTTCATTCGATAACTGTGTTCGAATAACATTTGTAGCCTTTGCCTGTCGAGAAGTTCGAGTAATCGTACGGGTGTGACGAATACTATACAGTTTGACGTACGATTCGGTTATTGTGAATAAAAATGATAGAAACCGTACGATATCAATTCGAATCGGTCGACAACAGAGTTATCGTAAAGTTCTGAATCGACCTGCTCATTCGGAAATAAGTAAACAGTGTATATATAGACTTGTATACTTATTTTTGGCCGATCACAAGTGAAGCGAGTTATTAATTTCAATTACATACGGTGATTTACGCTTTAGGGTGCGTTCCCACTAAGTCATGACGACAGATTGTCATGCAGTTTACAGTGTCGTGGCTTGTATATTTAAATGAAGTTGTTCACATATACAGCACGACACGATTAACTGTCGTTCACGATTTTTTATCGTTAACAACGACAAACTGTCGTCGCAGTGGGAACAGCTAGAACGACAGTCGTCTGACGATAAAAACGTGACGACAGATTGTCGCAGCTCCTATTGTCGTCACGATCTAGTGGGAACAGCTAGTCACGACAGTCGTTCAACGATAAAAAATCGTCCACGACAGATAGTCGTGATATGGGAACAGGCTAGACACAACAGTCGTCCAACGATAATAAAACGCGACGACGTAGTGGGAACGCGCCCTTAAGAATGTCATAAGTATATTCGTTTTATGAGGTATCCTTTTAAGTTATTGTTTATGTTTTTCAGTAGTACCGTGCTACAGTGAATTTACAATTTTGATTTGCTATGTGCGACTGAAATACGCGTTTTTCATTATTGAAAGCTTGTCTGTTCTGTGCACCGAGAACACGTTCACGTTTCAGATCTGTATGCGCTACCTACTACTGGTGCTCTCTAGTGAGGTGAAGTCAATGCTATGTCAATATAGCAATCAAAATGTTTGCAATGAAGTTTGACTTCCTTGAACAGGAAACGCGAATGCAACTGCGGCGGGGCCAACTCCAGCAGCGGCACAGCGGACGGCGAGGCCGAGCTGAGGAGGCAGCTGCGCGAGAGGGACGAGCGACTGCTGGCTCTGGAGGGGGAGTGTGCCAAGTGGGAACAGCGGTACCTGGAGGAAGCCGCCTTGAGGCAGGCCGCCGTCTCCGCTGCCTCCATACCCAAGTGAGTTTATTTTTGAGTTTATGAGACCCAAGTGACGGGAAGAACAAGTCGCCCATCTGGTGGTAAGTGACACGCCTGTCCAATCAGTGCTTTAAATCACAAAGATCTGAAGGACACTGCCACACACAGCTTGGCGGCAGAAATAGGTCAGGTCGTAATTCCCTGGAGGAACTCTTTCACAAGGAGCTCTACTGCTACTAAATTTTAGAGTTTTACTTGATACGACGATGAAGCTAGACATAAAAAAAATATCTAAGATAACGCATTACCATCTCCTAAAATTCTCAGTTTATTGATTTTGGTCTGAAATGCAATAACAACTGGAGCTACAAGATATTCTTAAAAAACTTCAAGTGGGCACATGGTAACCGTCTGAAATTAATGTTAATACATACGTAATATAATTAATATGTGTTCCTACTATGTTTCTACTAACAATCTTTTACACATGACTTCTTAAGCAACAGCAACATGCTATTGGAAGCTATTATTTCTGCTGTCCCTCAACGCCGGTGTGTGATGAAAGTGAAAGAAATTAATGAAATTCTAATTAATTATTATTGTTAACCGCCCAAGTCTATGCTAAATAAAACAATAGCGACAAGATAATTAGATGTCTCATTGATAATGGATATATTCGCTGTACCACTATACTGAGAGATTTTTTTCATTGCCTTTGTGCGACCGAAATACGCGTTTTCCCACCAGCCTGATGTATCGTCAGATTTGCGGGATCGCGCTGGATGCGAATGGCACAGGGTCGAAAATATTGGCGCAATGTTGGTTGATCATGATGACGATTGATAATGGATTAAAAATAGTTTAATATCTGAACTACTGTACCGTTATAAATTTTTATATAAAGAATTTTGGTTCAATTTCAAGACATGGTTAAATTTATTTGAATATCGGATCCCGCGTACATTTTAACACTGTATGTAGACAGACAGCAAAAGTTGCCATCTTGTATCTTACACTCTGAAGTGTTAAAGAAAATGTATGAAAAGTGTTATTGAGCACTAACATATTTTTATATTTTTGTAGGGACGCAAAAATAGCAGCCCTGGAAAAGACCTCCGCGGAGTCAGAGCGGTTAATGGCCGAAGCTCGGAATGAAAAAATACGGCACATGGACGAACTTCACTCCGCACAGAAGAAGGTCGCTGACCTCGAGAGCAGGTAAGGGTCGTACACACCATTTTTACAGGCACCTACAACGGACAATATATCAATGGATACTTTCGCCACGTCTAAGGTTCAATCATAATGTAAATTACACATGCGACATTCTTTCTATCACAACAACCTTTAAATAGAGTATCTTTCTTCATGTACACTTCTTCTAACTCCATTCTACTTCATAGGACTACAATAATTGTCCTAACAGGTCCTTGACCTCATATCGCTCCTCCGGATCTGAACTGGTGGGATCCTCTGATCCCTATGATGGGCCTCCACACACACCCCTACAGCCCCTCCTCTGCCACCGCTTCATGCCCCCTTGTACCTTCAGTACAAGTGGCGATCTCATTCTAATTCTGTTACTGATTCGTCATACTCTATCTTCTGGCTGTCTAGTCAACAAATACTGTATCTACGTTAGTAATAAACATTGTGCAAACTTACCACCTGTAGTGCCGACCAACCAGTGCACTCCCAGCAGATGCCTGATATCTCACCTTCATTTAAGATGCCTGTACTGCCGTGTTAGTTCCCTATTCTTAGGCATCATAACAGACTAAATTTATTAATGCTTGATATTACAAAACTTATACTAAATCGCGACATAATTCGCGACAGATACATCCAGGTGGTTTGTGTACATAATAATAATCCGTATCATTAACCCCCGACCCGAAAAGAGGGGAGTTATAACTTTAAAGTTTTTGTTCGTGTATTTGTCGGTATTACTCTGAGCAGCGCTGGTCGAGGAGGATTTATTACCTTTAAAATTTGCTTAATATTAAAAAAATATTTACTGGATCAATATTTTATTGTTACATTTACAGAGTGAAAGAACTAGAGTCGAAAGTGGCGGAGCGCGATGCGATGATCAAGGTACTACAGAAGCACACTAGCGCCGCTTACGACAGCGGAGCTTCGTTGAGGAACAACTCGAGTCGGGAAGAACTTGGTAAAAAAACTTGGCAACGTATTCATTAGGCTGCTAATAGATTAACTTCTTTCTCGTCGTAATAATTCTTTTCATGCAGCCGAGAGCACGACTGCAGGAAGTTGATAACGACTGCACGCATTAACTGCATGCAGTCGATGTTAATGGGTGAAGTCGTTATTAATTTTATGCAGTCGAAGTCCCGGCTGAATAAAGTGAGTAAACGATGCATTAACTGCAAACATGAAATCAATCTGTTAGCAGCCTTATTAAATAGAATGCGTTCTCTGAGTGAACATTGTTAATCACGGTAAATCAAGATGGCTGACTGGGTCATTCAATGCGATCGGAACGAGGAATTTTCTGTATATGAAGACTTTAACGCAGGCAACTTTGTTGCAGTGGGGCTGTCGTCGGGCGCGTCCTTCTCCAGCGCAGAGGGCGTAGGCGGCGTAGGCGCCGGCAGCGTCACTAGATACCGCCATCTCGCCCGGCGGAACTACTCGCCGCACAACGACAACTCCAGCGGTCAGTATAAAGGACTCATTGCGTCTGATGCGTCTGCGCATTCGAGCGAATTCTCGATACTTTATTTTGTGATATCAGGTGATGTAACGAATAAGTTGTGCACCTGGACAGTTGCAGTGCTACTCCCAAACATCTGAAAGACACTGTCACTGTGTCCATCACACTGAGAAATAAAGTTATTAAGTCCTATGTACCTGTAGTTTCACTAGCTTCCTTACACTTTAAAAGCAGAACACAGTAACACTCACATTACTGCTTGGTAGAATTTAGTGTTGTGGTTGTAGTTGCCTGGATGTACTCTTTAATAAGGAAGTAGTAACTCAATCGGAAAAACTTTTTAGCGTGTAATGTTAATAACTACATTATTTGGTTTATTTATTTCGACGTGTTAATAAATAAATAAAAAGTACATGAACAGGATAATAATGGTGGCAGATAAAAAGGTTTGTAACTCAGCAAAATGGCGGAGTGTTTTATCTTTGAGATTATGCTATAGTCCGTCATGTTCATAAAGACTTAACGAACACGCACATAATTCCAGTCTTAAGATCATCATTCATTATCATTCGCAACAAATTATTAAATAGTAAATATAAGGGGTTGAAGTATGAATTGCCGTTCAAAACTTCTGGCCACTTTAAAATATGAAATTTTTTTTAATGTAACATTCAAATTAGAAATTTTTTGTGGCTTTTTATACTTTTAAATAACTAACGACCTTGGCGGCCTAAATATTCGCAATGTGGGCGAAGGATCAGAAGGTCTCGTTTCCTGATAGTACAGTCGGTGCCCTCACTTATGTATCCACTATTTGTACTAAGTGCTGTACAAATAGTGGTTACCTAAGTGAGGCCACCGATTACATATATGGAAATGAATTTTTAAATTCTGGTGTGGGTGTTGTGGGTAGTGTGCCGTCGACTGGTTCATAATACAGAGAATTGCCTAGTTTGAGACCAGGTAATTGGTGTGAATGTCCGTCCGTGTAATATTATTATAATAAAACAACCCTTCCAAAAGAGATGGCAACTCGGTTGAATGACGCTTGACTTTCCGGTGCAGGTTGCGGCTTCGACAGCACTTCGCTGCGGCTGGACGAGCAGCTGGCGGCGCTGGAGTCGCGGCTGGAGCGGCCGCCCGTGCCGGCCGTGAGTTACCTGCCGGCGCACGCGCCGCCGTCCGAGCCGCGCGACCGCTCGCATGCGCTCTACTACTGACACTGCCACCCCTCCGCTCGACTCTTACACGACCTCCTCTATCGTATGTATGGACAAGGGACACGTTCAATGGCTCCATTCTCCTGGATGGAATTACGCGAGCAGAAGGTAAAAGATTAACTCCGTGCGTCACAAAAATACTGTGTGACTATCCTGGTAACGATCTTTTCAATTGTGACGACGTTCATTCGAACTGATTTTTGTTTTCCTTATTTATTTCCTGCTTTAAAACTTATCACCAGACTCTTAAGTATCCGGTATATAATCATGGGACAAATTCACTAAATGTACAGGAAAGAGACTATTTGTTTTCTTGATTGATGTTGTTACTGGATAAACAGCACGGAGCCATTACAAAAAATGTAATTATAAAACAATTTCTCGTAGCCACCGTCATATAAAACATTCCACACACTATACCGTAACGTGAGCATTCCGTATGTACAAACACAGCTTATGTTTTCGTGTGATTTAGTTTGCAGTGACCCTTAACCGTCGATGTACAAGGAACCTAACGCTTCCTAACTGTCTAGGTGTTGCCTTAAGATTGTGCTGCTTTGTAAACAAATTATATAGATCATAAAATTGCATACTTACGGGTTATTGAACCACATAGGTAACTGTGATGCATTGTCATGATTCATCTCCCAAAACAGTATAGGTCATGAATCATTCCCAAGATAAATTAATAGCAAAAGTTATCGACTTCATACAAATTCAAATTTGCACTTTTATGGTCTATTTATTTTGAGAATAAAAATATATTTATAATATACAACTAGGAATTAACAAGATGTTAATGTAAACTATTTTAAGCACTGTTGACTTTAATGTGGGTGGACAAGAATCTCGTGCCAAATATTTCGAAAAATATATCAGTGAAGAATTTTTTTCATTGCTTCAGGGGGTCGACATTCCTACTATATAAAAAATGTCACAGTGGATATGTCGATAAAAAAATGTCGAATGCGAACACTAGCATTTTGAGAATCTCATGATAGTCTTAAGTCGAGTTAGCAATTACGAGTAGTCCATGGCAGTAGAGACCAGTATGTCGCAAAGTAAATAAAGTGAGACAGATTAGATTTTAAGATATTGGCAGTTATTCGCTAAATGATTATCACTAGTATAGGTTTCTTACCAAGATAATGAAGTTAAAAAAAACGATCAAATCGCTTAATAACACAAACGCAACAGGTTACGATGAGATACCTACCAACATCATTAAAGCCTGCGCTGATAACTTAGCTCTTCTTGACTTTTTTTATATAATATCAAGTGACGGAACGTAGAAGTCGTGCGCCTGTAGGTAAGCTACACGCCTGTCCATAAAAGTTGCAGTGCCACTCGGAGTTTTAAATCGCGGAGATTTGACGGACACTGCCACTGCGCCCGTCACCCTGAGAGATCAGTTGACAAGTCCCATGTGCCTGTAATTTCACCAGCACCTTTACCTTTCAAAACCGGAACGCAGTAATGTTCACATTACTGCTTGGCGGCAGAAATAGGTAAGGTGGCAGTACTTCCCAGAACGAACTCTTTAACAAGGAGCTCTACTGCTATTAGCTCGACTCTCTTATTTTACATTTTGAACATGCAATATTTCCACCGACTTTCAAAAAATCAATAGTAAAACGACTTTTCCAAAAATATGACAAACAAAAAGAAAAGACGATTTCTTGTTATAGGGAATGAAACTATTTTTCCGTATTTAAATCGCGTATATTTGTTTTTTCAAACAAACCGACGTTTCGGGCCCTTTACAGGTCCCATGGTCACGGTTGACTGAGGTGGTACAGTCTTCAACCAGTTATGACTAATATTAATGCAAACCACCATATGCAAACAACATAGTTTATTCTAATTTCTATTAATAATTAATAATAACTTGGTACTTGGTACTTGGTGCAACGGGCTGGTATCCGCAACTCGACGACAAAGCGCCTATTTTGCGTGTGGTGGGTGCAGGGTCCTACTCGTGCCACCCAATTAATTAATAATAAATTAACTTAATAAAAATTCATTCAATAAAATAATTTGTAAAACTTAATGTAACGTAAATTGGAATGTTTTCTTTGTAAAATTAAAAATAAGGTATTTAATTAATAACTATTGTAACTACAGTGAAAAAATAGGGTGGTTTGCATCAATATTAGACATAACTGGTTGAAGACTGGACCACCTCAGTCAACCGTGACTATGGGACCTGTAAAGGGCCCGAAACGTCGGTTTGTTTGAAAAAACAAATATACAATACAATACAAAAATTCTTTATTGTACACCAAAAAAGGAAACAAATACAATACAATTAAATTAAAAATAAGCGGTGGTACAATGGGCGGTCTTATCGCTTTAAGCGATTTCTGCCAGACAACCTTTGGATGGAAGTAATTATATAATTCACAGGAAAAAGACGGTGGTGTATGAAGAATTACTTAATCAACAGATAAAAATTGATAAATAAATACAAATATACATATATTTATAATACAATATACATACAAATATATAATATATACAAATATACATAAATATACGCGATTTAAATCCGGAAAAATAGTTTCATGTGTAATAATCGCGAAAACCTAAGAACTCGATACGATTTCTTGTTATTCTCCCTGTATTTTTATTGGCTCCATGGCCACGGGATGACTATGATTGATGATGTCAGTTTTGGTAGTAACCAGACACGTCCTGGTGCAAGCAAAGAAATGATGAAATTGTATGATCACGTCGGAGTCAACAGTGTAAGTAGTCGAGATCACCGGTGTATTACCGATGTGTGATTTCATCATTTCTTAGCTGGCAACAAGATGTGCCTGAATGGCTGAAGAGGATTTGACATTGACATTCGACGTCTCGTCAGTACTGCATCAGTCTTGTCAATTGTCCTGCGACCATGGAGCGTGTAACCGTACCAAAATATCGGGAAAATAATAACTCATATCATGATAAGAAAACTATAATGAGTGATATTATTGGGACAGAAAAAATAGGTTGACATAAATCCAACTTTTGTCGAAGACAAAATTGTTTGATACTAAAACTGACGTGACGCATGTTGATTTAGCGATTACGTTTTGAGTACAGTCCATAAAAACGATCTATCGATTATTAAATCAAAAAGATGTTATTAGATAATCTTCAATTTAATATCTCTATTAATGTAAATAATAAATTATCTTTATAGATGTTGTATCTTCGACATTATTTCGAAATCGACAAATTGTCGACGCGTACGAAATAAGCACCCCAAATAAAATATTATTATAATTATTTCATGAGATTCCAGTCAACCCGTAACGTGTTGTGCCTTGAGCAAATGTCCTTAAACAGCAATTAGTGAAGTAATGGTGCCAATTAGGTGTAAGAATCACTATTAAGACATTTGCTTGTCTATCTGTCGCTCCACTAGTGCCAACTAGTCTTATTGGTGTAGGCATGGCATCGAGCATATAACTAGAAATACTCGATGAGGCATAGTCACAAACGTATGCCAAAGGTAGCGTTAATTTTTAGACTTGATGGAAAGGGAGGAAACCTAACGAACTTTGATTCGATATTTTCATTTTACAAGTCTTTATACACGTTCCAATTGTTCCAGATTTTATTTATCGTATGAAACTTCTTAACATGTTGGATTGTACTGGACTTCGGAACATGTGTGCTCTGAGGCTAATAATATCAGAATTTTACTGGTTGGTAGTTGAATATTGATAACGCGGCGCGTATGGTAGAGATAATAAAGCATTGATTTTGAGAATTAAATTCCCTAGATGATTATCACTGGTTTTTAACTACGGTATGGCTTCTTCATGTTTTTCCGATATTTAAAAACATTAACATGCGCCATGGTCACGAAATGATGCTAATCGCATCATTACTTTTACAATTTACTAAAATTAAAAAAAAAAACATACTGTGTAAAGAAACCATTAAGAATAATAGGGTATTTGATTTTGACATTTTGATGACAATCAACTTACGTGGGCAAACCACTCACATGGTGGACCGATGGCAAGATCGTTGTGGCGGTCTTTGGAGGAGTCGTATGTCCAGCAGTGGACGTTTTTCGGGTGAAGTGACGATGTTGAATCAATTTACGTCATGTAGAAAATTAATCAGAATTCAGTTTTTCTATATCTTTATTAACAATGGAGATATTAATGATAGTATTCAGTTGCGGGGACCCTGTGTGTCTTTACACAGTTCTTTCTGTGGCATCACTAAGTGTGCGTCACAAGTAAGCATTGCCGTCTCTAACTGAATGATGAATTTAATATTATTGAAAAGCTTTATTATATGAAATGCTATATAAAAATCAGCAAATTGCCGCCGATATATTAGTTTCCGCGCATGCATCTTTATCCAACGTATTCAGAAATTTCAAAGCAGCCATAATGTGGCTGCTTCGATCGTTCAACCTAATTGTTCTGCCAAAATTGTTATCTATGACCCTACACATTCAACAATTTCGTCCTATAATTAGGACGACATCAAAAGGTCGAGTGGCTAAGTACAGCGGCTATAGGTTACGTAGACAAGTTTATTACGCCCCATGAGTGTTTTAAACAAAAAGATTTTGTAAAATATTTGAAAGTAGAATAAGGCTCAACTTATTTTCGTATTTATTTTTACATTTAGGGTTGGCATCACTTATCAGCAACTTTAGCACTGCGTTCTTAATAAACGTGTGTTTTATGTGGGGTGTCATCATGCATATGTTTAGTATGGACGTAATGCTGAAGCGTGCTGGTAAATGGGGTCTAACCCTTAGATATATCTATAAGAGTATTTTAAATAGCAATGAAAGCTGGGCGAAGAAAAATTGCGTAATTCTCGAATTCTCCTCTAATTTTCCTCTAATTTTATTATTTGATACGGTCTTTGTCGTTTACCTGTTTCGCTTTTAATCTTTTTAAAACTGAAATTACGGTTCGACAATAATATAGACATTTATTTTGTGAATGTTTTTGGTAAGGTGTGTATTGAATTTATTGAATGACTACCCATTGCTCGACCGGTGATGTACAACAGACTATTTCTAAAATTTTAATAGTATAATTAGCCAGCTGTAATTTAAACCGCATGTTTAAAACAGCCTATTCTTCATCAATTTTTCAATAGCGTTTTTCCATGGTGTGGTATTAATGGTTAATTTTGTGCTACCATTTTCAAAGACCTATATTTTGTGTATAGTGAAAAGGGGTACAGGTCAAAAAAGCCAACTTACTTGAAAAACGCTTATATCATATTAAGCTTTACCTGTTTTTCGCGTCACCTTGTAAAGTTTTTTGACTTCTACCCCTTTTCACTAGAGCCACAGAATATACTTTGGTCATTCCAGGCAAAGGACCTCAAAAACTGAACAATCATGAAATCAAAGATTTGATCTTCAAATGATTATTATGAAAATAAATTCACGAAAGTACTAAATCGAGGCTTTGAATATGTTTAAACAAAAACTTTTTTTTGTAATCAACAGGGTATTTGACTCGTTTGTTTATTGTTTCAATCAACTCACGTGAACATGCTAAAAATGAATTTGATATTTGTTTCTCGATATCCGCACCAGAGGTATTAATAATTCGATTCTATGATGGGGATCCTGCGTTTCTTATTAGAAACGTAGTTTTTTCAACGGCTTTTTAGTCGTAGCGCCATCTATGAGCCACCTACAAAAAAAGTGAATAGCGACACCTCTCGCCAGGGCCGGTAGCTGTAAAGGCATCTAACTGGGTGATAAATC